TGTAAACATTAGATCCCATTAAGATAATCTCAAAAGAATGTACGGAAGAAATTCTAGGAGATCCAAATTATTTCAAGCTGTCAAAAAATGGATACGAAATCATTGTTTAGGATGAAATGGATATGATATTGATCACAAATCAAGATTCCAGCCAACAATATCACTAACAAATGCTTTGTTTGAGACCACAGTTAATGGAGCTCTTTGCTCTTTAATAAATTATAATAGATAAAAGACTAATTGGTTTCCAAGATTCCCCAAAACAAAAACCAACAAGTTTTCTTGCTTTCTTCGCAAGTGATTCATTAGAGATTCATTAAGTATTCATATTGTCCATTCACTTTCCTTTTCTCGAGCTTATCAGCTTCGAAACATAAAGAAACTGGTCAAGGGGCGATCTTTGAATGGTGTGGAACAAATACATTGACCCGCAGCTGATAAGACCTTCATTTGTACATATTTATGTACAGATATACATTTGAGTGCTTCCCACTTTTATCGCAGACTTTCAGCATCCGGAATGGACCGTACGGACCACACCCTTTGATAGAATACTACAAAAGTGAAATGAGATGCCATTGATAGGAAGAGAATGCTCAGAAGTAATTTATTTCATCGAATTTTACGCTTGGACGGCTCAGATTAGACGCGTTTGATTTCATTTGAATTGGCCTGGCTTGTTTGGCTGCTCGATCTGATCATTGCAACAATTAAATTCAATGAAATTTAATTTCGCAATTGAATTTCATTTTCAGCATGCTTGCAAATTGCTCAAGCGTTCGTTCGGTCTTAGGAATTCGCCGTGCTCCATCCATTTTTAGTACCCTTTACCGCTTCCCTCCTTGTTGCGGCTACTGTTTTCTGAATTTCACTAGCTTTTCCTTGTTACACTGCTATGGGTGCCCCATCCGTATGGAAAAACCTCTTCGAAAAGTTGTCTGATGGAGATCTATTTTCGAATCCACACCCATTCCGAAACGAGCTGAGTTAGAATATTATTTTGGGGTTCCAAACGAATAAAAACAGATGTGCCAAGGTATTTTACGCCAGTCTTCATGACTGACCCACCGCAATAGCAAATGAATTAAAAATGTTCCGAGGCTGCGCTGAGGTCAGTGGCCCCTGCCATTGATTTTATAACAGGTTCCTTCGGCAGGAACCCTTCGGCGGGGATCGACTTATGCATGTGCAGCCGTAATTCTCGTACAATTTTGTTGATTCTGTTCGATTCGGGCTTCCGCTTCTTCATTCTATGCTCCATTGACTGGGGACTTGCTCCGGCCTGATCGACCGTGAGTCTTTCCACAGCCTGTTCAGACTCGTTTCATTGTCGATTGGGCAGGCAAGCCTCACGATATTCTATTTGATGGCTCATCTCATCGGTTATTCGATTCAGACATCGCGGCTATGGATCATGGCCCCAAGACGAGCACCGCATCGCGCCGCTCCAACAATGTTCCTTTGTTCCCCATGCTCGCTGCAATCTTCACGAGTATGTGCGGTCCAGGTGAATGACTAACGGCCAGCAAAACTATGACTAACTAAGACCAGTTAGCGAGTGGGTTGCTTGAGGAGTTCTTCATAATTTGAAGTATCAACTTTTGAATCAGGGCCAAGAATTCTATTTTCTGCACAATCAGAGCATATTAAGTGTGGCAAGTGAGTGAGGGCAGGGGCCTGGTAATTCTTAATGTGTTTTGTTTTTGGCTGCAGAAAATACAAATTAACGCAACAATTAACAGAAACAAGTTCTCTGGGTGCTGTATGAGTAAAGTAGATATGTACATATATCTATACATATGTATGTACATATGTAGGTGAAATGAGATGAAGAATCTCTTGCCTCTCTCTGTTTTATTGAACAGCTCTTCCATCATTTGTGCCGTGCCAGACCAGACCCCCGCTGAAGTGGCAAGTTCTGTTCGTTTTTTAGTTGTTTTCGCAACCCAAAGTCAGCCAAGCACGATGGGAAGAGAGAGGCATACACAGCAGACGGAGCAAGGGAGACGGCTAACAAAAAACATTGGAGTGAGTGGAGGAGATTTAGAAAATGTTAATTTTGTGCCCGTCTCGTTGTGTCCCCCCCATCGACGACGATGATGATGGCGATGATTTTGTCGATATTTGGAACGAAACTTGAAAGTCTTCTGGGAGCACACATTTGAGGCAGGCCAGAACAGACCCAATCGGATGAGGGAGTTCGTCCAAGAACTGCATATCGAACGAATCCAAACAGACAGCTTGAAGTTCGAGACAAATAAACGGCCGCATTTGAAGATATCTTTCAATACAAGTAACCCATAGATGCAGCGGATAACAAAAGCCCAGTGGAGTTTCCTCACACAGATATTTGTATTATTATCAAGGCAGCAGCTCTTTTCGGCCTCACGTTGTGGTGTTGTGGTTTTCCACAGTTTCCACAGGTTTTCAGTTTTCAGTTTCTTGTTAAGTTTTACTTTTCCAGTCTCACAGTCGCTGTCGCCATCGTCGTCATCTCTGGCCCCACAATATTACGAGGGTGCGAGTGCGAGTGCGAGTGTGAGTACTTCTATGTACGTTTGTTGGCATGTGACAAATTCTCCATAAATACATTTGGCCGCCGGACGGGAGTTCAGTAACCCATCGTCTGAACTGACCTACATACATATACATACACGTACACAAATCTGCGGCACTTGCCAAGTGCCAAGAACTGAGCGCGAAAGTAAGCAGCAACCAGGAAAATAAAAGGGAAATGTACACTTTTCCCATCTACAAATTCTCAGCCTTGGAATCCTGAATACTATCAGATGTTAGCCCATTAGCGTAGCGCAGAAAGTATCAATGGTATCTCTCTCTGGGCTCTATTCGAAATGCTGTGGGGTGTCAGCCCAAGAAAAAGGTTTTATACGGTGAATAGTATTTTGATTTGATTAAATTGCGACTTACAGCGATAAAATATCACCTTTGAAAGGGCCTAAAAGCCGCAGACGTACACAAATAGTTGTCTTTTTCAATTCGAGTTTTGCTTTCATTCTGAGCTAAGGGGAACAACTCGTTGGCGTGATTTCATTTTCATTTCTTAATGGTCAGAATGTTTTCCTTTACATGCACCGGCGCCCGTCGTTCTGGATGCCTTAGAATCGTCGCCAGTCTGGAATTCGACTCACTTGCGCTTTCGTTTTTATAGATTTTGTTTTTTTGTTGTTCGTTGTGTCTGTTTTTGGAAGGTTCTCCCAAAACAAATTTTGGAGAAAACGAACAAACGAACTGAATCGAATTGAAATACGAACTTGAATTAAGTGTTATGGATACAGACGGCAGAAACAAAACGAATTTAAGTGCATAAAATTAACATCAAGAGTCGCCAAAACCCGTTCAGAATCCAACCATGATCGGATCGAGCTCCGGAGGAGAGGCTGTTAATTAATTCATGGATTCATCATCATTCGCTGTATTGTTCGATTTCCGAAAACAAACTTTTACTTTCCATCATTGTTTTGAGGCCATTGTGAGTGCTCTCGAAGAGATATTTCTCCCCCTGCAATTAATCTTCGGATGCGCTGACGCGGACGAACCAATTAGATAACCACAGCCCTACGGCCGTGTGTGGGCAGTGAAAGTTTTCCGTCCGTTCTAAGCCACTGGGCCTGGGCCTGGGCCTTAGCCAGTCCCGAGACGATCCGATAGCCATTTGCATAAACATCTCACCACCACTCGCGAGTGGTTGCTGTTGCAGTTGTGTTGCATACTTGATGCCTGGAAGTGCGTAGAAATCAGATCAACATTCATTTTCCAGCTCAGCTTTTATTTACATACTTACTTGTTCAGCGATTGATGAAGACGATAAGACGACGACTCTCGGTTCCCCTGGCCTGGAATGGGATTTTTGGGTACTTAGTTAGATCTGGGTACGTACAGTTCGTCAGTGAAGTTAAGTGCATAACAATTAACAAGCTACCAGTTTACACGTCGTTAAACATTCCTCTTTTTATCTACAAGATATTTCGATAGAAGTAACTGCTTTTCTATCTTACGTGATTTAGTGGAATTTCGGATTAGAATTTCTATTCGAAATTGGAGCCTATTTATAGCTTTAAACCAAACTTAAGTCAAATCTAAATATTCATTTTTAAATGAGGAGTAATAGTTGGGTTCCACCATGTATGTACATATACCTTTTCTCACTTTCAAAATTGCATTTAATTCTCTTATATACACACATACAAAGGCTCGTTGCAGTCGAGTTTTACTTTCGTAGGTAAGGTTCTCTGTCCGTAAGGTTTTTGCTGGGCCATTTCTATGCAAATGAGCAGGGAACACGCACACATCACAGCACAGCACATCAGGAGGGAGAAGGCAGTCCTTGGATGGCCTCATACAGTTATAATGGGGCAGAAGCTTTCAATACACCGCATGATATGAGATATGGATATGCAAATGTAAGGGGTTAAGGAATATCTGGGGGAAGGAAAGCAGCCTAGCCCAGTGCTAGAAATCTTTAGGCCATAGGATGGACTTGGGCTTGGCTCGGCTGGAACGTGACAAAATAAAGTCTGTTTTTTCGTATTCAGACTTACGTAATGCGGTGCTTGCTGGGCCCATCTATGCCATTGTAGTGCCTGGGGATAATCAAGATTTACGGTGGACTTTTCGTCGTTATCACTTGCCAATGGATGGGCCTGGACTGAAAGGAGATTTCTGATTATGTCCAAGGGGTTCACAGAGTTCACATTCGCTTTCTGGGCCATTGACCGCCTAATGTATTGATTGATTTCCTTGGCAGGAGGAATATTTACCACGACTATTTACTGTACACCAGCCCGCGCGTAGAACTTGCTTGACACGAAAAGCTTGTGCTTGGCATTGGTCCGCGAGGGGCACATGCTCCGCACATGTTCCCTTTCGAGAACAGCTGATTCAACCTTGTGGTCCATACATTGGGATTATTACATCACCATCACTGCTCCCGCCCGAACTGAAAGTCTGCTAAAAGTGTGTGTTTTTGTGTTTCGTTTCAGATCACCGATCAAAGACCTTCGAACCATGTAACGACAACTCGAACGATTCGACTAAACAACAGAAGCAACAGAGTTGCTTAGTATTCACAGTTTCACATCCAGATATCTCCTCAGGTAAGTTAGGCAACTGCTTCGATTGGAAAAGCACTTAAAGCTCAGCAGCGATCAATAATCATAATTCCCTTTGATCTCCAGGAAATCAATAAAAGTCAATTGATTATGGCTTTTAGTTGGGAACCTTTCATAATTCTTTTGTAATATTTTCTTGCGCCCTTGAATGTACAAGTACTCGGACATTCAGGCATACAAATGTACCTATGTAGGTAGCGCAATGGTTCCTCGGGGTGAATCCAATAAGCTATGTCGTCTTGTACACTCCGAGCAAGCATTGCGCTTCTTCTTTATTTCTTTGTTTATCCAGAGGGAATCACTTCAGAGTTTCGGCTGTCTGTTATTTTCGGGCTTTAGGTGAATTTATGTTTACATGAGCAAAGGAAGCCCTCAAAATTCGCAGGGCCAGACCACACGTGCTGCCCCATTAATCGTAAAATATACGACCCTTTAATGTTTAAGCACTTGAAAAAATGTTAAAGAAAACCCCGAATACTTTATGAGCATATTATGCCAACTTCTGTGAGTATTTTCATGCTTTGATTCATAATTCATGCTCAATGAAATATATTAATGACTCTTGTGCATATTTGAAATATGAATGTAACTCCATTTGGTACCTAGAGAGGTACATTTCGAGCAACGACGACTCTGCTGTTGTGGTAATGTGAGCTTTAATTCTGATTACAATATGAATACATTGAAATGTACCCACATACATAAACATAGTGCTTTTAGTGAGCAGCAAACCTTCGGCAATGAACGACCTTGAAGCCAGCTGTTCCAACCGCATAATTTGGCCCGGTTAAACATTTTTGTATATTCAATGGTTTCGAGAGAGGAAATACAGTAATAGAGTGTTCCAAGATGACGAACAACCTTGTTGTGTCCTAAGGAGTTCGTGTTAAAGTCCGGAATATATATATCTGGGAAATTTACTTAAATTGGCAACTTTCCAGATCTGCCTGTGTGTGTGTGTGTGTGTGTGTGTTGGTGGGGGAAGGATGTCACGCCGGTGTTCTTTTTGCCTTATTTGGTTATACGGTGACAGACCGACCACCCCTCTGACGATTTCGTTGACTAGGTCAGGCTGTATGCTTCACTTTTGGTTTCTGTGAGTGCGAATGGGACGGGCCTGCGCAGACGGCAAAGAGAGGACAACCTCGTGTCCTGGCAACATGTGGATGGCAACATTACATTTTTGTGCTTAACTTTTTTATTAATAAGCTATTTCTTGGCTTGGAATCTGAACTGAGCGAAAACCTATCTGATAAAACATGTTGAGTTCCCTTACGCAAATTTTGTACAAACGTGGAACGGGCTTAGTTCTTCGGCAGAGAGAGAGAGAGAGAAAAAACAGTCAAATCATCTTGTGAAATGTTTCTGTTGCCATTCGTGTGAGTCCGAGTGCCCGCGCAGTTGCGCTCCTTGACCTTGGACTCGCACAAAGAGGCACAGACTCCCATGTTGGCGCCCCGCAACATCTGCGAGAACGAACCCCAAAGGCCGTTTTCCTGTTATCGACAGCAGCCACAAGTTGCGGGCATCGCGGATAATTCTCAAAGCTGGGAACAAGTGTGTGGTGTAGTAATAAATAAATAAATATATGTTGTAGCAAGCACTATTCAGTGGGACAAACATCTGTGCAAACGATCCCCCGCAATGGCTTCGATTCGGACTTGGATCGCAGCATCGATGATACGCGGTAGGTACGATACACCGTAAATGGGAGCATCATAACCATCTGGCAGTCGGGGACCAACAACAGAAATCGCTGCCCTTTCATAATATATTCCATCATATACACATTGATTGGTGACATTGGGCGGTATGGCAGAACGGTGCAAACCCCCAATCGCATGGCGTTACACATCGAGAAAGGAAGGGAGGAATTTTAAGTGAGAGCAGTCTTGGGTACATTCCTTGTGCCAATAGCCAATAAGTGGTTCACACACTTTAATGGAAACACAAACAAAGATAATGGTACGCCCACTCAATAAATATTGTGTGACATTTGCAGTTCTTGAAACTTGAACAAATCATTGCAAATCCATGCAGATTGTATACTTGCTGGGGGAACACGAGTATTTCCCCAACCAGCAAAATGAGTCATTAGAAAGCAAAAGCAATACTCTCAGATATATTTTAATTAAAGTCCGCACTAAAACTGAAGGAAATCGCAGGAAGGAAGACTATCAAAATAATCGACAATGAAAGTGTGGCAAATTGGTTTTAATCGATTCGAAATTTAGCATTCAAAAAGCTATTCACATCCACTTGAGTAACTGCGCTGCCGTTTTAAGTGTCTAACTTTAGTTTTAGTTTGAGTTTTGAGCCACAATTTTCACAATTCAAAGCGACCTTCACTGAATCACCGCCCCCAATCCGTGCATTGTTCAAAGTCAAAGCCTGCAAAGTGTTGGTCATAACAATTAATGGTAGACAGCTCCATACAGTGCGGTAATACGCCAGAGTCGCTGTGTCGAGTCTCTAACGGAGTATACTCCGATGAGCATGCAGTTTCTTCTCCGAGTTTATTTGGCTTTCGTTTGTTTTCCGTTTTCCGTTTTCCGTCTTCTGTCTCCAGGGGCACTTTCCTTTTCGATTTGTCCAGCTCTTTAGAGCCGTCTCGCAATGACGTTTGTTTACCATTGGGATTTGTGCTGAGGTGTCGCTAACAAGTGTTTGCTCTAAGGCCATAATCGCAGTTGAGAACTGCGCTGCTCGCCTAGAGATGGAGCTCCCAGAGATGCTTTCCTGTCCCATTGTCTGGCCACACGCCTGGCCGCAGCATAATTAAGTTGGCAAATTCGCGTAATGGGCAACTGAAATTATACATCGCGATGAGCCATGTTTTGGGGCTCACCTCTCGAAATGCTGTACATGCTCGCACTCGTAATTATAATGTTGGTTGTGGCTGTCTCTGCTTACTGTTGGTTGATTTTGTTTGGGTTTTGGTTGTGATACTCTTCCAGAGGGTTTTCCAATTGCAGTATCGGCGAATGGTGAATTGTATGGTATCAAGTTTGAGACGCATTGAAAGGGTGTGCGAAGATTCGACTGGCGAAGATCAACAGCTCTTCTCTTTGGTGGATTTTGCTTTCGTTTTCCACTTGAATGTTTGCCCACTTTGCCATTGCAGATGCATCGAGAGGTGAGAGAGTGTTTGCGCATCTGCACACATGCAAATGAAAGTCAAAGTTAATTTGTAAGATTTTCCCGTCGAGATAGCCACACTCGTCCGCAGATTCAGATACCATCGAATGCTCGTGTACAGCCTGCATTGTGGCCAAATGTTGGACTAAATCTTCACTACTCCTGGAGTTAGTTGTGGTGATCCGAATGATTTCTTCAACTCTTACAGCTAGAGTGCCCGTTTCCCACACACTCCCAGCTTAATTGGCTGCAGCCAGTAATGAACTCAGCCTTGGCATTCCCCCAAGTTCAATGCCAAACTATACTTCTGGTTCTCCTCCCCTCGCTGGTTTCCATTCAGACTCAGAGCCAGACCCCCCCGGAGGCAGCCATTTAATTAATCAACGCAAAAACGAAATGAAAATTTTCCAGTTGTGTGTGTGTGTGTGTGGATTGTGTTGCTCATGTGAAGTGCCAATCAGCATCAGCATCATCCATCCCCATCGTCAGCCTCCCTCGGGGAGGGCACTGTACTGCACCCACAAGTGTCGACAAGAATCTGTGGCTGCAGTTTCCATTTGGATGCGCAAAAAAATCGAAAACAAGGGGTTGGCTGGGTGTACTAATTAGTCCATAAATACTTTGGGCACACACGCAGCTGGGTGGGTGCCTGGTTAGTTACCCCAAAAGAGGGTCAGATGTCAGCCTGAGGCTGACAGTATTTGGACAGCTGCACCAACGATGTGGCTAGCTGCGGTAATTGGGTTATGTGAAGAGGCTTTCTGGAGCGTTAATCGCACGTTCTTAATCGCACGAGCGAGTTTATCATGAAAAAGGATGATCTTAAAATGTGACAAAATATTCGAGATATTTTAATTCGGGTTTCCTATTTTCCCACTGATTTATAACTATCTATAAAAAAGGCTGAATCAGTCATGGAGTAATGCATCTTCCAAGGCCCATAACAGGAACTATAAATACATATGTACATACTTTAAATCTAAATTTTACACAAATCGTACATAAATTGAACACAAAACTAGTGCCCGAAAGTATGCAACAAATTGTGTAAGCGACTTTTTCTCAAAGCGAGAGTACGGGCATGACACCTACTTTTATCCATTCCAACTGTGGTATTTGGTATTGCTGCGTATTTTTTTGCCCTAGCGGATAAATCGGATATTTTCCTTATTGGAAAACAAAATCTCCAGCTGCACTAACAGGACCAGACCGATGTGGCTGCTGATATGCATGCTGTTTGTAGTGTGAGACCAGGATAAGGTTAATTCCAATTGGCAGTCGCACCGCTAGGCAAAAACAAAATTCTTTAACAATTAAATACTTATTTGGATGAATGTACACATTAAATGAATATAAATACGAGTGTAATACCCTTAAACATGTTGCAGCGTCTGTGACTACTCGGCATCCCCGAACTTGGCGTGACTCACTTCGGACCCATTACTCATGTCCCATTCGTCTGGCGCCGATCGAAGCCAGAAACAATACGAGCCAAGTGCAGAGGCAGCAGCATCCACATCGGCAACAGGCCGCAAAGTTCGGCAGAGAAGACAAATTCCTATTTGAAAATAGTTTTCCTTGAAATGCCTTTGGTCCGCCGCCCTGCTGCTGCCTGCACCCTGCCGCTCCTTCCATCCAATTTCAAGTCAATTTACTGCACTAATGGTAAATGCATTTTGCTCTTGTTTGGCCTGGGCCTGGGCATGACATTTATTTATGGGTTGATTCATTGATTCGCATTCATCATGGATTTAAGTAGACATTTGAGATTCATGTGGCATCCGAATGGAGTCTGTGAACAAGGGCTGCTGTTAGTCTAGCCATTTCGAAGAGGTCAAAGAATGGAGATATGAATTCCAATTTAGCATCCGATTCGACAATATTTAAAATGATATGTAAAATAGTGTTAAGCATTGCAATGACACCTTTTTTATATGCTGAGCTATTGTCAGCTTGGGTGACTTTTATCGTGAATGCAATATGACATTTAATTTCCCCACCCATCCATCCCCATCCATCCCCATCATGTCAGGAGCAGTCTCTATATGAGCGATCCATTAGCGGGGTGTCAGGACAAGTGAGTGACGGGAAAGGTATCCAGTCTTGCAACCGTACCTGTACTATTGCGGAAGACATCCATTTACCATCCCAATACCTTACAAATATTTGTTACATTTCAGATGACGGCAAAATTACAAACTAACTTTTTGTTTTGTTGCTTCGTTTCAGTATGTCTTCCGGCCTGATGTCGTGTGTGAGGGAAAACTCGCCGCCGCTGGAGCTGGAGCTGGAGCTGGATGCGAGTGCCGATGGTCCATTGTCACTGCCGGAGGGCAACATCAGCAGGTCACATGGAGGGCCCAGGTCTGGGCCTGGTCCCGCCACCTCCACGCCTATTTCGAGCCCCGGAAACGATGGCCACGAGCCCGCAAATGCTGGTGAGTTATGTTATCTAATTGCTCCCATGCTCTGCTCACAATCAGAGCAGAGAAGACAGACGCATATCCTTGGAATGAGCTCGATTGTTGCTTTATTGTTTATTTTATGTGCCACAGCGAGACAAGTGTGGAATTTGGGATTATGAAATTGCCTTTGGCCCGACTCCCGCTTTCTGGGAATAACCCAGCTGCCATATTGCAGCTTTCTTCTTCATCTGTTCATCATCTGATGAATTCCCAGTCGGGAATGGGAGGGGATGGGTTTGATTGCCATCCCATCCCTGAAGGTTAGCTGTACTTGTTGGGGTAGGCTATTCAGTAGGGTTGTGCTGGAGGTTATTAAATCCAAATTTAAGGATTTACTGCACATGTCAGTGAACAAGTGAACTTTTCAGCTATTCCTGAGGGTACTCAATTTTCACTTGAGTCGCTTGAACTGTTAGGAAATGAGTTGGGAAAAGGTCCAAGCAGTTGTCTGCTGTACTGGTTAGCAAAAGTTGGGGTACGATCGTTAGCTGGTTCGTTTCGTACATATGTGCATAATTAGATGGGGCTTTTGGCTTTCGGTTCGTTGATGCCACCATCACAAACACAAACGGCACCACCACCACCTCCACCACCAGCAGGGATACAGATACGAACACAGCTGACGATACAGAAACAATGAGCGCGAGATAAAGGCCTAGCCACAATACGAGCATACGAATATTCAGATTTTGTTACTTGTGAATCGAATCGGGCTTTGTTTGCTCTCTGGGCTGGTGGTACCAACTGAATAACTGGATAATGTTTATATAATTGTGGGTAATGCTGACACAAGCAGCCCCACCCCCACCCACGTGCTAATTAACGTCGACTACTTTCTACTGCGGCGGTTCATGCGGATGCGAAGCAGCAATCGACCAAAACTGTTCTACGAACATGCTGCGTGGAAATAGGAATACGAATAAGAACACGAATGGGAATGAGAAATTCATTCAATTCATTTTGGGGCGGTTTTAGGTGTTATTGTTGTTATGACAACTTCCACAACAACAAACTTTCATCCACAATAACGGAACATACTCGTGTGTGTGTGTGTGCATACCTATGTTTGCATGTATGTATGAATACTTTGCATACTCTGTACAATTCAGCATTGCGCTGCACAGTGTGTGAGATCACGAACCACACTTTCTGTATCCTCCGTAGTTGAGGGGCAAATTCATAATGAGTCTGACTAATATTCTTGCCAATTAATGTGGCATTTGAAACTTGTACAAATCAAACGTGGCACCTTCAACGAAAGCTGGATCTGTCCGATGTGGCCCATTGTGCAGGCAGACCCATTGGGTTAGTCAGCTTAACCCCTGACAGACAAAGGTCTGTTAATGCTTGCAGACACCTGCCGCCAAACACGAGCGGACCGATTTGGCAACCTGGCTAAGAGTGCGACGCAACAGCCAATAGGCCCACCAGACATGAGACGCTGTCGATGATTGCAGTGTTCGCTTGGGGTTCCGTCGGTTCAGTTTGGTTCAGTGTTCAGTATTTTGTTTGGTTTGATTTGAGTTGAGTTCGCCTCGGCTGGCGTTTCGTTCGCTTCGTTTCGTTTTCGTGGATTTCGATTTCGATTTCGATTCCGTTTTCAATGTGTGTGTGTGTGTGTGTGTGTTTCCATTGCGCTGCTGTCTGTCCCATTGATTCAATTCATTCTGTGTGCTCAGCTCCACCTGTACAGGTGAAACGATTTTGTACGCCGGTTATTGCACTAATTGAATTGTCGTCGCTGTTGACTGTCGCTGATTGCCGTCCCAGTGGAATCAAATTGAAACACTCCAAACTCGACCGAAACGCACTCATAATCGCTGTTCGATCAATCCAACATCAAATCAACATAATTTTAATCAATTCTATTGGAAAAACACCAAGAAATACATGGAAAAACGAGAAGTCATTAAGTAGAGTGCCATTTTGTGTGTGTGTGTGTGTGTGTGTATTCTGTGAAGTGAAGTTGGAAATATTAAAAGGAAAACATATACAAACATATGTATGTACGCATTGATGTATGTTTACACTAAGCAAATATCAGTAGAGTAAACATCGCGAGGAATTTCTCAATTGAATAGAACATCTGCGTGTATTTTCGGCTCCCAATTATTTGAACAGGTAATAAAATGGATTGTTTATGCCGCCGGCGGGTCAACAAGTATAGAGACTCAACTGAATTCCCATTCCTTCATAGCAGATTTTTCCCCACTCTACTCAGAGACAGCTTTAAAACCAGTAAAATAAGTCGAAAAATAAATGCCAGCGAAATGCAATCAAGCGACGATGATTTTTCGGGTGCAAACCCAGTTCAGGCCTCAAAGAAACGCGCGTCTGGAGACCCAACTGCCTCTAATTGAAGTGCCAAGTGCCGAGTGCCGAGAGCCGCGAGTTGTGTAACCAATTTCGTGCGTCTCGCAGTGTGTCTGTTAGCGTCTGATAAGCCTGTGGCCATCAGCACGCTCTCGACCGATGGCAGCCAACGTCTTTGTGCGATTTGGGCAACTTGGGAGATTGGCATACCAATACCATGAACCCGATGGTATAAACAAATAAAGTCTGGGATAAGACCAATCGATAGATCGGAATAGAAGAGTAGGTATACAGTGCCCTCGAAATAGTGTTAAAGGCTAACAGACTAGCAGACTATAACAAATCGAGGATTAATTCAATAGCCAGATAAGAATTTTGCCGCTTTTTATATTTATTTGGGTACACTTTCGAATTCAATTAATTGTATAACGCATAAAAACTACTTGACATTGGTTATCTTCTCTTCTGTGCCGATTTGTGACACACGTAGTTGGTTGCCTGATGGCAGATTTGTGCATTGATTGGTGGTTCTACTCGTACCCGTACTCGAATATCAACTCTCACTTCCACACAATACAAGGGTTGGCCAGATCAAATAAACGCTATCAGCAACAAGTGATCGATATTTGTATTGACATCATTTTCTATTTCGGAAAGTGTAGCAGTAGCCCTTTTCTTTGCTAATTAATCTATGCAGCGCTGATCCCCTCAGGCTGAGCAACGAACTCAAGGCTTTGCCTCGGCTTTGCTTAATCCATTGAAAGAATATCCAATTTTAGAAGCGTGTCTCGTAACTACTTACCAGTTAACGAGTCTATACAGAATACTCGTAAGTATTCAACACTTGAAGGCCGCAAGACCTGTTCGCTTTTAAGAACTGTTGTTGAAATGTGCAACTGTCGGGGCCCGAATTCTTATTCCACACGAGTGAGTGGACGCGGCACACTGGCTGAGCGGATAAGCTGCCCACTCTGCCAAGTCTGGAAATGGCATGGCAGGGCAGGGCGGGGCCGCTGCTCACTTGACCTTCCCCAAGAGTTCTCGAACAGTGGCAAAGCCCACATCCGGCCACACACTCTCGAATGTACTCGCAGCAGTGGCTTACAAAAGTCGCCAATTACTGCAGCGGGGCTGAAAAGACGTTTGCCAATTTGCGCGATGTTTGTTGTTTGGTTGCAATGATTAATTATTAAATGAACCCACTCGCCGAACCGAACCGTTTTGCAATTGCAAATCGAGAATCGTCTGGAATCGAGTTGGACTTGGAATTGGTGTCAGTTATACTGTCAGCGGCAACACTCCGTCGGCCCACGCATCCCCAGTACAGTGAGCACTCGCGCAGGCAGTCGAAAAGACAATTCATTGTCGCAGTGCATCATGTTGCCAAATTGAAAAGTCTATTTTGGTGTATTACAAAATCTGACAATGACGGAGACAAAGACCCAAACAGTTCGCCCACATTCGCGGAAAGTCAAAGCATGACGACGAACAACGAAAATAACAAAATTTTCGAAACGGGAACCCAAGCAAAAACAGATATTGCTCAATGGACTTTAGATGGATTCGGAATATGTAGTACTTCCAATATATTTGACAGATAGCTCCTCTTTGTTTAATTTTACAATTGAAATTTCCAAACGAAAATTAAGGCCAGTCCCAGCTCTAGAAGGGTAAGGCGTTCCACAACAGACAACTGACCCAATTAGCGTTCTATAAATAAGCAATTGTCACTTGTCTGTAGGTAGGGCGGTACTAGGGTACTCCTGTCCTGCCACCGTTTGGCGGTTAAAATTCCATTAGCAGGGTCCCCAAGCAATTTCGAGACACCCCCCAATGGTAATAAATAAAATGACGAGCGAGTGCCCTCCTCCTGCTCCACTTGGGAGAATATAAATATTTTTTCTTGCCCGTCAGCGACCTTTTATGACCAGCCAGCCCCAACGCAACTGATACTAATCGTCAGTATCCGTGAAATATTTCACCGTACATAGTGTATGTTTCTGTATATCTGTACTGTCTGGCAGTATTCGCGTGCCGTGGCCCAAAACGTGACCTGCATTCGAGTGGCGGGTAAGGCACATCCCGACATCCGAATACTTTTGATTAGAGACCCATGGGGGAAGGTCCAATCCAAGCGCTGTCTTCAGTGTTCTGTGCTGTTTTCTTTTAGACTCGTACATATATAGTGGCTTCCGTTCTGTTGGGCTCTTTTGCCTAATTAATACAGTATACCCGTACACTTTATTAGCCGCCAAAGGGAATGCAGACTTTACATGGCGAATCACAGTGCCTGCGTTGACTGAACTTTCTTCGAGCGAATGACACATAGCACATACTGGTATGTGAATAACTTGGGAAGTTCCAGGAACTCCTCCAGATGAGGATGACAAAGATGATAACTCTCCAAAGAGAGAGCCACTCGGGGGGTGATTCGATTGTGAAAACATCTTAAGTGGAGTTCAATTTCGTAGATATAATCTAAAGATGTTTTGCTCTGGACTGGGATCGTGTAGCTACATATGTACGAGTGTGTACGAGTATTCCACATTCAGCATTCCGTATCGATCGATAAGGAAATCTACCTGCCTGTCACACTCTGTCTCTCTTTTTCTTACCATCTTATCGCACTATCGAAATGAAATAAAAACGAGAAGGGACGTGTGAGACGCACTCACCCGGCACTCAGTACTACATCTTTACCTTAGCGGTTATTTGTCAAATGTTATCAAATTTTAAATTTTTTCTTCATCTGTCATCTACGTCTACAATACTTCTCACACCAACACGCTCCGTTAGCTCGCCCCCCTTTCCTAGACCCACACACTGCAAACTCGCGGCAGAGGCAGAGGCAGCGCCCGCCAACAAAAATAACAAATAAAGGCTGCGGACGGGGTGGGTTAAAAATCGGCAGAGGCTGATGCAGAGGGACGGCAGAGGCAGAGGCCGCATAATGCAGTAGCAGAGTGTGAATGAGAGAATGTGCAAAAAACAAATATAAGCTGCGGGACGGGGTGGGTTTAGCCCCGCCCTTTTGCGGGGGCGGAAGCGCCGGGGAACATTTTTTAAATACACTAGTACTTACAGTGTGAGCATACAGAAGTCTGGATGCAAAATTTCGTGGCTCTAGCTCTTATAATCTCTGAGTACTAGGCGCTCATCAGGACGGACGGACGGACAGACGGACAGACAGACATGGCTCCATCGACTCGGCTATTGATGCTGATCAAGAATATATATACTTTATTAGCGCTTCCTTCTGTGCGTTACATACAACCGTTATTCGCCCAAATACAATATACCCCATTTACTCTTCGAGTACCGGGTATAATTATTGAGGTGCTGCACAGCCACAATGAGAGTAGCAGACGGCGACGCAGCAATTCCACTTCGATTGATTACATTTTACCATTCTGGCCAATTACGTCTATGAACTGGCCTAAAACCCTGAACCCCTTCCGAGATCTGCATACATATGTATAAATAAATGTCAAGGTCATAGACAAATGGTTACAAACTTCTGGGGGTGCACGTGGTTGAACCTGATAAGCCGATCTAAATACACTGAAAATGAGGACGAACGTGAGACGCTTCGTACGCGTTACAACTTGCATACTCGGTACTCAGTCAGTAAATTCCTATGTACGTGTGTATGTGCGCCCCTTCCCCAAGAGCCAAACACACGAGGCAGGGTACTCTTCGAGTACCGGGTATACAAATATCTATTATATTGGGTTAAAAGTTATAATTTCCATCGATCATATCCGGGATTCAAACCCATGGGGGGGGGGGGGGGGCAGACCAAATTCCAACTGAGTTGGTTCGGAAATCTGAGTGTAGAATTTCTCTCAGTGTGGGTGCACTATCTATATCTGTCACGTTTTTTCCTGTCACCCTCTGCCTCCCCCTACCGTTGATTTTGGAGTTCCCAAATGGAGGGAGGCCCTCCACTTTTTGCCTATTTATGGGCATGTTTTCGATCCGCGTCGTTTCCACCCATTTATTGTTTATTTCTTATCGCTCATTGAGGCCCGCTTCTCCTTTCTTCTGTTGCGTTCATGGCCAGGGGAAGTGACAAAGATTCTATTAGCAATCGATGGATGATGGGGTCTGGGCTGTGAGTAACTGGGAATGGAAATCGGAATCATGATTGCTTTCCGCTTACTGCGAGTCCGGACTACTGGGAATCGGAATTTTTGATTAAAAAAACAGCCATTCATTTATTTGATATTGTTCAATTGAAAATGTTAATGCTGGTCCTGTTTCGGGGATTCTGTTCGTGTCCCACTTGGCAGATTTGAAGGCCGATGCGGATGGATAACTAGCATTCACAGCAAGCCCACTTTTACATATCTCCTAGTTTCCAAAATAGAATATGGAAAAATGTGTTCGTATCGAAATTCATGTCTGATCCTGGGCCTCTATCCTTCCAGAACAACATCTCCAGCAGCAGCAGCAGCAGCAGCAGAAGCGTCGCCGCTTCCATCCGCTTCGTAACCTGAGACGCATCTTCCGGCGTCGCACCATCAACAGCTCTGCGGACAGCCCGACAGCTTGCCAATCCCCAACACCACCCGGACCTGGTCCTGGCTCCTGCAACACCCTGCCGCCGCCGGTCAGCAGCTCCAGCGAAAAGAATTTGCGCAGTGTGACCGCTCCAGCGTCTTCGGCCATCGCCTCCTCGTCGACTTCACCGCAGAACCACCAGTCGCTGGGCGAGAGCTACCAGACGCAGTCGCTGCCCAAGTCCAAGTCCTACGGATCGCATCGCGATGAACTGCTGAGCGTGCTCCTGGGTAAGAAGAGGGCCAACAAACAGGCGCAACACAGCTCCGATCACCAGCAGCAGCAGCAGCAGCAGCAGCAACAGTTTCCGGCGGACGCCATGTACCAGACACATCGCCAGCAGATGGGCGTCGGCGTGGCCGTCTTTCCCGAGACCCGTAGTCTGAGCCGCAGCAGCTACTTTTCAGAGCAGCGGCACCAGCAGAGGCACCTGCAAAGCGTCGGCGACTCCTCACAGGAACTGGGCGTGGAGCGGGAGGGCAACAGCAATGCCAGCACTGATAGTGGTGGTGTCACCGCCGACATCTCCGATAGCCAGCGCAGCCTCAGCGAGGGCCGCCTCCTAGATGTCGATGGGTGAGTTGTCCATCCAACCGCTGTCCAATTCAAGTTTGTCTAATATCTAACATCTGATACTCTTCCTCTCTTTTCAGGGACTACTCTCGTGAGACTCTTTCGCAGTCACACGACAGCGTCTTCTCCGAATCGGCGACAGCCAGCAGCCTGTCGAATGTCCTGAAGGTGAGTCTTCTGGATACTTTTCACTATTTTCCATCGATATGATCCACCTCCTCCCACATCAATGTCTCCAACTAAGTTTATTGTTCACTTGGGGAATCCACATGGGATTTTGTTTATTTGTTTTGCTTTTGTTGGCGTTGTTTTTGCTGTTGTTATTGCTGTGGCGCAATCAATGTAAATTGATTTTAATCAAATTCAATTTGTGCTTTTGTTGGCATTTCACTTCTATGTATCAGCAGTCGTAATGACCAAATCCCCAGCAGTGGCCATTGACTTTGGCTCCCAGTCGATCGATTCATTCCTTTGTTGTTGATGAAATATCAACCCATGGAACAGAGTTTACAACTCTGCAAAACTGATTAGCTGCATTATCCGGAGACTCAAATAATGAAATTCATTTTGGAGGAGCTTTTTTTCGAAATGAGATCAGTGAACTCCACTTATACTGCGGAGCAGGGGAAGCAGGGTGAGCCCCATATCCCCTCCTCGAATCCACTCTCATCCTTACTGATACATTACATTTCCCTCAGTTCGCAATCAATTTGCCATTTACTCTACGAGTATTTAGGCCCAGTAAGCTTTTGAAAATTTCTGTGTGGCAGGAAAGACCGAAATGCAGTGGTCTTGCCGCAAGTGTTACCTAATAAACTGAACGAACCAACATTATCATATGCTGGCTGAGTTTTTTGGTAGACTAGTCTGCAGAGGCAGAGTGAAAGAGGGAAAGAGGGAAAGAGGGAAAGAGGAAAAGGCACGCGTCGAGGCGCAACTGGAAACCGAAAACACCACCACCACCACCACGACTGCAGCGTGTGTACTCGTACCCGTACTGCAACTGCAATTGCAGTAACCATCCCATACAGCCCATCTACCCACCCCGCTCTGCGAGTGGCAATTTGCGGCTTCTTCCTCTTATGTTGCTTCTATTGCTTCTCCGGTTTCTGGAAAAACGAGTTGCCAGTCCGATGGTCGCTTGGTCGCTTGGTCGCTAGGCCGCCTGGACGCCTGGCCGCTTCTTGTTATTCCACTTTTTTCCACTTGGCTCCACTCGCTCTACACCGTCCCGCAACTTATTTGCCAACCTGGTTAGCAAATAAATCGCATTTCTTTCTGTTTCTATGCTATTGAACTCCTGCAAAGCTTTCCGCTAAATCAGTTTGCATCGAGCCATTTGCCAGTGAAGACGAAGACAAAGGCAGCGCGCAATTCGCAGTTCTCGCTCCGATCCCATACGATCCGGTCCGGTCCGGTCCGGTCCGGTCCTATCCGCGACATATGTCCAGTCAAGCCCAGTGAAGAGTTCCCAAAATACAAACAAATTAAAAAAGCGTTGGCTTGGTTCTATCGGTACTGCGGGGTAGCTTTGGCTGCCCGTACATACATTTATTACTGCGATTCCTGAAAACCAGATCTAGTCATTAGGGATTCAAGTTTGAGCGGGCGAAAATATTAATCATAATAATAATGACTAATAATAATAGTGTACAAACTGATCAAAACAAATGATCCTCTAAAAAAACCGATTAGTAGATGTTCAGGTGCATTTCGATCCGTTTATTTTGTCCGCAAGAACAGAAAGTCTTTTCTCCTGGACTGTACTTATCCTTCCACCTGCCCCACCCGCTGCGGGACGGGCCAGTTTGCCTTTGCAAAGCTGAAGAGCAGCCCGAGGAGGTAGCATACATAGGTCTATAAATATTTACCAGTGGCAGATCTGTCCCAGACAAGACTCTGCTTCAACCAGTTTGATGAATTAATTGTGGAAAACAGAAAGAGAAAAACATCTTGTCGATGGCCATAATGGGAGAGATAAATGACAATGCAGGCACACTCAGGCAGGAGGAGGATGAGAGCGACAGGGGGAGCGACATGGAATGACAGCGATATGGTAACACGGTAACACGCATCGGCAATGACTGGGGCGAACCGCTCAGGAGCAATCAGAGCCGTCATCAGTCCGTCTTCATCTCGAGTCGGGTCGGGATAATCGAAGACATTTCACACGCTTCTCTCTAATTAACCAACACGGAGGGAAAACGAGCTGATGGTAGCTGGCCCCATTGCCTGGGCAGCTGAAACCGATACCCGAATTTGTATTCGTTTCGGCCTACTTTCATTGCAGTCTAACATGAGATCTGTGACATTTCCCGTCTGGCTGGTGGGCTGCGTTAAGCATTGCATAAGGTCCTCAGTGGATTTGCCTATATGCATAGCTCATTGATTATAGATTTCCGTGTCCACTAGGCAGTCACTGGATCTGGATGTACATGTGGATGTGGTTCCCGTCCCAATGGCAACCAGCCATTGCAGCCGGCGTTTTGCAGCATCCGCATAAAGCTTTTAATTGCATTTCTTCGCACGCAGCGCCCATCACTCTGAATTCTCAAGTTCAGCAAAAATGAGGCCCATATTCATACATATGTGGGTATGTATTTGTTGGCCACTTCTGTCGGCCCACTTCACGAGCCGCACATTCCTCTCACACTCCGCTCCGCTCCAACGGATGAGGAGAAATCCATTAGGAGATGTATTCACTTTATTGCAGTTGCATCTCAGTGTGAATGCTCTAACGATTCGCCTATACCCTTACAACTTAAGGAATATAAATGATATAGTTTACACATAAATATGTACAATGTAGGAGAGGTCGACTTTCGTGTGGATTGCTTGGATTGGATCAGTTGGAGTCAAGGTCAAGCCAGCATTCTACAATCCAAAGCGGATGCCCATGCCCCCACCTGGCTGGGAATGGACCGTTTATTCCACTTACTACCCGCGGCTGTTGCCATTTCTTGGATACTTGAAATGCAGCTCGGACAGCGAAATGATGCAATTGCATTAATTCAAAGTGATTGCCTGCCTGCCTCTACTCCCACTTGGCCAACTGTTGTTCCCATTCTCTCTCTCGGTCTCTCTCTGCCCCTGCCATAGCCACTGGCCATAGGAGCACAGATTGCGGCGAGGTGCTGTGGTAATCAATGCTGGCTTGTTGGCTTGTGTGTGGCCATGTTTGGAGCGACTGGCCACTCCCCCGTTCCACCACTCTTCCACCCAGACCAGTGGCCCACTCGGCAAGTGTGCCAATAAATCAGTGAACGTGACGGGGATGGGGCTTGGTCTGGTCAGTGATTTGCATTTTGTTCGCATTCGGATTAGTCACCCTGACAGCAGGTAGCACATGCAACGATAAGGACTTGCGGAAGGATCTAATCTGGCTACCTGTGAGAGACGCGGATAATTCCCCGAATTTAATCGGATAGAGCAGATGTGCAGGAATTGAGCCTGGAATAGGTACTAGGTAGATGACCCTTGAAGCACACTACGAAACTAAGATACAGGAATAGTTATGTACAATTCTCTCAGAGAACATTGAACTCCGAGAGACAGCCTCGCCACACATCCTCCCATCCACCCATCCACCCATCCACCCGCTGCATATCCATCAGTACATCTACTGTATTTATCTAAATGCAACTGATGGACGAGGTCTTTAACCTGAAACAGCCCGGCACTTAATCCACGTACAACGAGGAGCAGGGCCAGCCTCAGCTCCCAAAAATAGAACCTTGTCAAGAGCAAGCAGATGGCGGCGTCACGTCAAGACGTGCAACTGATAAATGAGCCACCACTGTTTATGTGTCTCTCTTAAAGACAGCAACAGTTCAGTCCGCTCTATCGGGTGTGCACTGTATGTGCACTCGAAAGAGATCGGGGAATGTTTACTTTGGCCTCTGCATCTGCGTATGCCCCTGGGTACCCTTGAAATGCAATACAAAGATTTCCAGTGCCTGCCTCGCAGTCAATTATGTTCGACTAGGTAAAAACTCCACCATGTGCGCCGCCATTTCCATTTCAATTTCACTCTCGTTTCACTCGTCGAGGGCGCTACACTACATCTGCCCTGCTCTGCTCTGCTCTGCGCTGCTCTACTCTGAATTGACAGCATTTTCAGTTGCACATTGCACTTTGATGTGCGCACACATCTCTGTTGCCCAGTCTGTGCCCAGTCTCTGTGCCAGTGGAAAGTGAAATCATTGAGATCGCGTGCCTGCATCGCAGGCAGACAACAATAGCCCTTGTTAGTGCGCCGTTGATTAGACCCGAGATCCGAGATGGTAGCCGGAAGCGCGGGCTCCCTTAAAGTGCAGGCCAATCCATTCAAGGTCTCGTTCGCGGTAAGAATTGGGGCTGGGGACTATTCAGGAATCGCAGGGACATGTATGAGTACATATGTACAGCGCCACAGTTTCCTCGTTAATCAAAACGAGCATCCTCATAGTCATTCGCAGCCTCGAGTCCGCATTGAGGCTCTCGAAATGATCGACTTCAAACAGAACCCATTCAAGATGAAGCTGAGCGGCTCTAGCATCGGCGAGAGTCGGCTAGGCCGCAGCTGTCTACGCGCCCGTTTCGTGTTCCGGTGGAAGAGCTGGGTAACAGCCGGGCCCCCCACTCCATCTCGCATCCAGAGTACCAGTGCTAATCCATTCCACATTTCTGTTTGTTTCCCATTTAAGGCGGAGCTCACAGACGTTCTGCGCAAGCGGCGCAATCGACCCGATGCCTCCGACGAAGATCTGGGCCTGCCCCGCAGTCCGGCATCTCCGCAGAGACGAGTGGCGGGAGGCCAGAGCCGCGGCGCCGCCCCAGGTCACAGTCAGCTCCGTGGACACAGCCAAAGCGAGGTGTCCTCGTTGAGTCTTCAGAGCGTGAACAGCGCCGAAGAAACGGAGGACAGCCAGAGTCACGGCCACAGCCAGAGCCACAGGTACCACTCGCGGGTGTCGACCAGCTCCTCCGTCTCGATGGGCTCGGACATACTGCGCCCGCACCACGAGGACGAGGTGGATGCGGTTGGCACCGAGCGCCACCGGCTGTCCCATGCGGCGGCCAAGCACAAGATGGCCATCAGACCCGCCAAGAAGAAGGGGCCCAGCAGACAACACCGCAGGACCTTGGAGGTGAGTGAAGGCAACAGATGTCCAAGATTGATAACTGATTGATAACTCCCCGTATCCGCAGTGCTCCATACCTGAAGCCAACGAGGATATGCAGAAGACATGCCCGGCACTGAGGGCAGTCCGCGGTAAGTGATTCCCAGAACTTTTCAGAGTTCCCAACTTATCTGTATCCTCCTGCCGTTTTCCCGCAGATGCTGACCTCAAGAGCAGGACGCGATCTCTGCCGCCCAAGTCGTTGCCTGCCATTGTCTCCAGTTCCAGTTCCAGTCCCAGTCCCAGTCCCAGCACCACAACCATAACGGCCGCCCACTGTAGCTCCAGCTCTAGTTCCATCACGACGAAGCGGACAAAAACCATCGAGCAGGCGACAAGAACGACCACGTCTTCCAGCACGTCGCAGATCTTTGGACTGCGATCACCCACCACGACCACCACTACCAGCATCAACAAGAAGGCGAACACCGTGCTCGAGAGTCGAGGCGAGTCCTCCACGGACGGTGACGATGCCCTGGCCGCCAGCGAGAGCGCTGAGAGCGGACTCCTGAGGCGACTTATCCACAGGAACTCAAAGCGCAGCATTGCCCGGGCTAACGATGGCCTCGAGGATACCGACTCCAGCCAGAGCGTGGCCAAGAAGCTGCAGATATCCAGCTCCTGCCTGGATGCGGCCTTCCGGGAGCCACTGCCGATACCGGACAAGTCGCGCACCGCAACCATCCACCAACAAAACGTGGAGCATGTCCAGGAGAGTCGCCAGATGATCAAGCGTGAAATCCACAACGAGGCCAGCCACAGTCACGGCCACGGGCGCAATGCCATAGTCAACAACTTAGGGGTAGGAATCGGTATCACTGCCCCGCCGCAGATGGCGACCAAACCCAAGTCGGGACCAGCGGCTCGCCAACGATACATCCCTCAGGAGCTTGGAGCCAGCGCGCCCGCCGCCACTCTGAGTAGCAGCCACTCGAACGACGTGACCAATCTACTGTCAAAGAGCACCCGGGGCAACGACACCTTCCAATCCACAACCCTGGTGCTCGAGCAGCAGGTCAAGGCCGAGACCACGGATCGAGCCCACTTCGAACGAAAGCCTCGGATCGTGGGCCTCAGCGCCTTTCAGCAGAAGCTGTCACGCTCCAGTGACTCGATGGGGCACAACTCCAGCTCCTCGAACTCGCTGGAGACCAGCACGGACGAGCCCTCGCCGCTGTACTACGAGGAGAAGCAGCGCAAGACGGTGGAGAAGTCGCGCAGTTTTCGCAATTACCAGGAGGAGCGCGAGTCCGTGGTCGAGTCAACGGTCGTGCACAACCACATGCCCAGTCTGCCCGATCTCTCGATCAGCTTCCGCCTGCCCTCATACTACAAGCAGCCCTCGGCCCGCTCTCCGCCGCAGTCCCCGCGCTCCCCCCTTTCGCCGAACGCCAAGTGCGTGTCCCTGGGATTTGAGATCAACGACAACAAGCTGCTGCAGGGGCGCGCTGAGTCTGTGGGCCAGTTGCCGGCGCTGGCAAAGAGCTCGCTGCAACGGAGCAACAAGCTACTTGTCCAGTCCAGTCCCGGTCCAGCCAACATCTCCCAGATAGAGCAGAACATCGACATGATCGTCAAGTCGCCCCTGGTGAGTGTCCTGCGCAAGTCGGCAACGGTCAGCGCGCAGCTATCCGAGGAGCAGACCACTCAAACGGCCAAACTGCAGCCGGAGCGCCCAAGGCTGCTGGACCTCGGAAAGAAGAACATAACCAGCACAGCCATGGCCATCTGCAGTCCCAGCCCGGCCAGCCCTCTGAGCAAGAGTGCCAAGCTCTCGCACAGTCCGCCCACAACTCCGGCCAAGAGCAGCTCTAGCAATTACAGCAACAATAACATCAGCTGTGGGAGCAGCCGTCGCAACTCGAGCAACGTGGAGACTCCCGCGGAGCCGGAGTTCATGAAGATTCAGCTGAACCGCGTGGATCAGGCGAGCCTGCACAAAAAGTGCAACCACCTAGTTCTGGCCAAGAACCTGAAATCGCCCAGCGAGCGAAGCCAGAGCAACGACGACCTCAGCTCGAGGCGGAGCAGTGGGGCCAGCGTGGAGGTCGTGGAGCAGACAGGCATACCCGTGGGTTCTAGCGCGGTTCCACTCAACCTTAGGCAGGCCCTGGAGCCGAATCTGGGCAGGCAGCTGCGATCTGTGAGCGCCTCCAGCGTGCGGACCAGCTTTGGCAGCAGCAGCGGCAGCAGCGAAGGACTCTCATCAGCGAACACGCCTGCTACGACACCCAGTACACCAAAGAGCAACGGCATCCCCGTTCCCAAGTTGGAGGCAGCACCGAGGGAGCAACAGAGCAGCCAGAAGGAGAGCAAAGTAAACCGCCTCTCGCTAGAGGAGCGCAAGCGACTGTTCCTCAACGAGGAGAGAACGGAACGCCCTGCGGTGGAGCAGAGGAAGCAGTCAATTGGCAAGGCGGAGACGCCGCCGGCAGTGAGTGGTCCAGCTCCTGCCACTCCGCCGAAGACACCGGAGCTGACCGAAGTCAATGGCAATGCCAATCCCGTGGTGCTGCGCAAGAAGTCCTTTGCTAGCTGCAATGGCAACCCCTCGCCAAACAAGGACGACCCCACGCCGGAACTGATGAAAGTGTTTGCCCGCCGTTCGCTCAAGGTGAAAGATGAGGAGGTGGTAGCCCCTTCCCAGTCAGTGTCCAAGAAGATATCAGCGCCCATAGGCAGCCAGAGTGTGGACAGTGACAAGGAGAACCAGTCCAACAGCGAGGAGAAGCTGGACAAACTGTCGCCCAAATACGAGGCGCAGATCAGCGGGGAGTTTACCAAGACAGCCTCCCAACATCCCAGCAACAACCGGAACTCGGTGGACTTCCGAAATCTCAACACAAGCAGCAACCACAACAATAACAACATCAGCAGTAACCTGCAGAAGGCGGTCAATGGACAGCAGAAGGTGGTTACCTACCTACCCCCCATCAAGGTCAGCAATGGCGTCCGGAACAGCAACAACAATGGAGGCGCCAAGCCCGCGAGCGATCGCATGTCCTTGCAAATGAAACAGACTACCCCAGCGACAGGATCAGTTCCGGCGGTGCCACAGGCAGCTCCACACACAACTGCTGCCTCCACTGCAGGGTCAGTGACGCAAGCCACAGGTGCCATGTCCATGTCTGGCAAGCCAATCGAGCGATCGGCGACAGTGGGCGAGTTCAAGGGCATCCATCAGCGCCGCGCCGAGTGGGAGCAGCGCGCCAAGGAGGCCCTCAAGTAGGAATGCTTTCTATAGACTGGAAGAAATCAACTAAAAATATAAACAGAATAATCAAATTATGACTACTCGTATAACCATAAAACTTATACCCTAAAACTGTAAAAAGGAGGACCACAGATCCAAGTTACGGGAGCTGCGACCCGAATACACTCAAGCGTCCATCCAAAGAATCTTGCAGCGTACTCGGGTTCTGCTCCCGCATCACACTAGTAAATAGTAACCATATATCGATCTTCAACAAGTGACTAGCGTATATTTATTTATAGTTTTTCTGCATGTTACGTAGTGTTAAAAACCATGTCATCAACTGTAAGGAGACTCTAATCACACTCACAGATTAGCAGGGAGCGTACGAGTATGATATTCGAATTAACTAAGCTAGTTTTGGATTGCTGCAACTGAAAGATTATACATATTAAATAGATTAGATATTATTTTGCAATACGGACATTTCCACGGTCGACATGATTTGTATGTCGGATCCTAAATATCAGTTGCGATTTCAAAATTGTGCAACTAAGAATACATAGCCTTTGTTTATGGGCATACCAGTAAATACACATACATACATATATCTAAATATATTACAAATGTACATACATACATACAATAATACCAATCTAATAAATATCCAAGGATGCAACAATTTGACTTTTACTCTATGTACATATGTATAAGTATATGTTTGAACAATGTTATGACGTATACAAGCATGATTCTACCGTCTTTTTGCCCTTGTGCCGCCACAAGATCGACACATCTGTGTTCTAGGTAAAGAATATTTTTGTCTTACTCTCACTGAATGCTTTTGCCGTAAAATTTATATTGAAGAGAATGTATAAATATATCAGGTTCCCGGAGTAGGACCAGATCGGATCATTATTTTATCCAAAATCCACATCAAACAGCAACAAAAATAATAATAATATTGAACCTGGTCAATGCGGGGACTCATAGTCTGCGACCAACAAAAAAAAAAACGAGAAGGGACGTGTAAGACGCATCTTACGCGTCACAACTTGTATACCCGTCACTCAGTCAGTGTACCTGTCCATATTGTGTCTTTTTTTCAAATTTTACATTTGACATCTTACATTTTTTCTACTCCTGTCATCTACATATACATCTACATAACTTTTCACGCCAACACGCTATTTTCGCTCGCCCCCCTTCCCTAGAGCCGCACACTACAGATCCACGTCAAAGGCAAAACCGCGGCAGAGGCAGCGGCCATCGGCAACTGCAAAAGCAGAGTGTGAATGAGAGAATGTGCAAAAAACAAATATAAGCTGCGGGACGGGGTGGGTTTAGCCACTGAACATAAATTTCTTCATTGTGGTTATAATAATGATCCAATCGGATCTCAATTTGATGATCTGATAGATATGGCCATTCCCTACGGAATGGCGTTTTTAGTTTTCTTTTATCTTTAAAATTGTACATTTGGGAGGCTTTCGCCTATTGCAGTGGCGGAAGGGGCGGTTCTCATTTTTTAAATACACTTGTAACAGTGTGAGCATACAGTCTGGATGCAAAATTTGGTGGCTCTAGCTTTTATAGTCTCTGAGTACTAGGCGCTCATCAGGACGGACAGACAGACATGGCTCTATCGACTGGTCTATTGATGCTGATCAAGAATATATATACTTTATGGGGTCGGAAACGTTTCCTTTTGTGCGTTACATACAACCGTTATTCGCCCAAATACAATATACCCTATTTACTCTTCGAGTACCGGGTATAAAAATTAACAATATAATATATAGAAAAAAGGGTGTGCAAATGTGTATGCTTCTTAGGGTTGACTAGCAACAGTGACGTCACATTCCCAACAAAGTTACTTTTTTATGCTTTGACCTGATTTTATAATCACCCCAATGAAAAAGAGTCCCGGCAACTAGCCAATCTTGTGGAAAATTAATACGTGATTCAGATAAAATTATATGTTCAGGGCTCTCAATCTTAGCTAGCTAGCAAAAAAAAAGCAACATAAAAAAGTCCATGAAAATGATTTCTATCATCGAAGGAAATCAAATCAATCATCGAAAGAAATCAATTAACCCATTGTTGCCCAGTGCATATATTGTGAATATACTCACGAATGTGATGAAACTCGCGATTGTGTACGCATTTTAGTTGAAAGATATATTGGCAAGAGAAGAAGATAATTTGTTTGTTATTCTTTTCCGCGGCTTACCGCAAATGGTTCACCTGTTCAACTTAATCGGGTGTAAGAGGGTTAAATTATTTCTATCGATAAGTCCGCGGTCCGTCACACTGGTTGTAATATGCAATTGTTCATATAATCTAAAATAGCCCCCGAAAATGCTGCTGACACTACGGGTGCAGGGCTCCAGGTTATCTCTGCGGACTGGTAGCTGCAGTCGAATCCGGTGCCTGGCCAGTAACGCTGTTGTTGAAAAAACCCCACCTCCTGCGCAGTCACAACTGGAGGTGAATGGGAGCACGTACGCCACCGACAGCTGGACGAATGTGACGCCCAAAATTCTGTCGTATCTGGGAGCTAATAAGCATCTGCAGAGGGACCATCCACTATCGATCATTCGCCAGCGCATTGTTAACTACTTTTATGGAGCCTACCGTAATCAGCGCGGGAATCCGCTGTTTTCCATCTACGACAAAATGAATCCTGTGGTGACAGTGCAGCAGAATTTTGACAACCTCCTGATACCCAGCGACCATGTGAGTCGCCAGAAATCCGACTGCTACTACATTAACCAGCACCAGCTGCTCCGTGCCCACACCACGGCCCACCAGGTCGAATTGATCTCTGGTGGACTGGACAATTTCCTTGTTGTGGGGGAGGTGTATCGGCGCGATGAGATCGACAGCACCCACTACCCAGTCTTCCATCAGGCAGATGCAGTGCGACTAGTCACCAAGGACAAGCTCTTTGAGCGCAATCCCGGCCTGGAACTGTTCGAGGAGACTTGGACGGGCTCAGTAGCCGACCCGATGCTGATTCTTCCCTCATCAAAGTGCATGGACCAGACGAAGCAGCCATGTCACACTCTGGAAGCGGTGAAACTGATGGAGCACGAAATGAAGCACGTCCTTGTGGGTCTGACGAAGGAATTGTTCGGTCCTCGCATCAAGTACCGCTGGGTAGAAACCTATTTCCCTTTCACGCAACCCTCCTGGGAGCTGGAGATCTTCTTCAAGAACAACTGGCTGGAGGTTCTTGGCTGTGGCATAATGCGTCACGAAATACTCCAACAGTCTGGCGTCCATCAGTCAATTGGCTACGCCTTTGGTGTCGGCCTCGAGCGTCTGGCTATGGTTCTCTTCGATATACCGGACATTCGCCTGTTCTGGTCCAACGACAGCGGCTTTCTTTCGCAGTTCAGCGAAAAGGATCTGCTTAATCTTCCAAAGTACAAACCCATCTCCCACTATCCTCAGTGCACAAACGACCTGTCTTTCTGGCTGCCCTCGGACGTGGAGGTCGATGCTGGCTTCTCGCCCAATGATTTCTACGATCTGGTTCGGACGGTGGCTGGCGACATTGTGGAACAGGTGAGTGCCTTTACACCCGGACCCCAACCTGCAGAGTAGCTGAACTTAACTCTACCTCCTCTTTAGATCAGCCTAGTGGACAAATTCAAGCATCCGAAGACGGGAAAGTCGAGCGTTTGCTTCCGCATTGTCTACCGCCACATGGAGCGCACCCTGACCCAGGCGGAAGTCAACGATATACACAAGCAGATAGCCAATGCCAGTGTGGAAAGTTTCAATGTCCAAATACGTTAGATCTAGTCCAATTCAGCTTCAATTTAAGCCAAAAAAAACAAAAAGAGTTCAAGTACCAAACAAAATAAGTGACATCGAGCTCTATTTCTGCACCCGTTTCATATTTTTCTGAAGCATTTAACATTCTGTTCGATCCATTCGTTGGCGCTTTTGAGCAACTTGGGATTATCGACAAACTCCTTTTGGGGGTGGGTACCATTTTTGGCATCCTCTCCGCCGCTTCGGACGAAGCCCGCCTCGTTTTTATTGAGGATTCCAACGGAGGCCATTTCGTGCATGTTCACCGACTTGTTCTCGCGAAAGTTTCGAATGCTTAGATGGTCGAGCAATTTGTCCAGGTCCTCGGCACTCGGTACACAATCCAAAAAGGTGCTAATGCTTTGCACAGTACCCGACAGATCCCTCAGCATGTCCTCGTAACACAGATAGAGAACGTTGCTCAAGTGGCTATGGTTCCGGGCTTCATTCACATGGCTATGGTACGGCAGCCAGGGATCTGCAAGAACCGTTTGATAGTCAAAATCTAATAGGACAAATATTGTGAACGATCACGGACTCAATCCTCTCTGGAAGTAGCGCCAGTAGCGCTCAAAGTCCCCGATGTATCCTTGAGTGCGGAAGAGCCTGTTCAAGTGGTAATACGAGACTGCAACGTCCTTGGGATTGCGGGACACGTAAACGATCTGAAGTGCATGTGTAGTTATGTATTACATTTTTGGTACAAGTAGTGCTGCTTCACCAAGGGTCGGACCTTGCATTTGTTCTGTAGTACACTCGGCGGCAACAGGGAGAATGGAAAGTGCGTCTTGATAAAGCGTCGCTCGGAAGAAGGCACCTCACTGAGGACCTCGTATCCCGGCCGTGAAATTTTCTCAATAAATTCCGCGGCACCAGCTGAGTGGTGGTTCTCCTCCAGAAGCTCTGCCTTGACCTGGCTGTGCATAAAGAGTGGAAACTCAAAGAAGGGGAAACGCTCGGTGAGAGGTCGCCGCTGGGCTTGCTCAAAGTCCAGTCCATTGGCCAGCAGCCAGATGAGCTCCTGTGTCCAAGTGGTTCCCGATCTGGGCACGGTCACTATCCAGACGTCATTAGGTCGAGCCTCAAAGTTGTAATACTTATCCGCCTCGTCTTTGAATTTGACTGGAAAGAAGTAGCCCTCGCCTCCAACCTGAACAAAACCAGTCCGCTCGCCTGAAAGATACGAACCAGGAATTACGCCAGCCAACCAGATATGTATGTCAGAGACTACACACCTTTGAAGTACTCCAGCAGTTCGGCATTTGTCGACTCCTCCACATCGCGAATTTCGTGGGGAAATTTTAAATGCGACTTTTCCATTGCTCGCGCGACCAGTTGCCAGACTTGACTGAGCAACTGACTGACTTTGGGACTGTGGGCTGGGAAATCGTCTTGACTTGACCCTACTTTCGGCTCGCAGAGAAAGTGAGAACTGGTTGGTCCGTAGTACTGCTTGGCTAAGCGTAATTTAAATACGACTGTACTTACCCTCAATGCCCTCCCAAAGAGCATTCCCGAACCATGAAATGGCTTAACCAATTTTATTACTTGATTCAGATTATAAAGTGGACAGTCCACAGTGTAACGTGCCCATGGTCATACAATTATTACTATTGCAGGGAAGGGTATTTGAAGTTTAGGGCCCTGCCGGTTCTCTTAGGTTTACTTGGATTTTTATATTACTAGCTGGACAAGTTATGTTAACGCGGCCAATGCGATGACCTGCTCTTGGAAAATGTATGGACCCAGATGAGCTAATGTAGATTTCGATCACCGAATGTCGATTTAAACTTTATTAAAACAAATACTGGGACCGTCCTTTCCTTTCAGGCTGGAACTTTGGTCAATTTATAGGCAAAGAATTTGGAATTTGAGCTTGGGGGGCAGCTACACCTTTGACTGCTCTTTTAGATTGTCCACCCCATCGAAGAGACTGAGGAGCTCCTGCTCCTTTCGCTTGATGCGTTCCTTGATGTCGGTGATAGACTCGGACTTGGGGACCTCGCGGGTAAATAAGTCGTCCATTGACTTGAAAACGTTCTGGTACTGATTGTCGTAGCTGGCGTACATGACGGGTGGCTGTCTCTTCGCACTGCGCTTGGTGACGGCATGGCGCTCCGAGAACTCCTTCAGCTCGTCCAGATGCTGTTCTTCCTGCAGCTCGTACGAGGCGAACCTCCGCGTCGACTGGCGTTCCAGCCGAGACTTAGCATCGCGACGCTCCCTTTCAATTTTTTCCATTAGTGGCTGGGAGGGGATCACTACCCTCAAGCCAGGAAGCGGGCCATGGCTAAGTATCTCCTGCTCGTTCGTCTGAACGCCTGCCTCTAGCAAGCGATTGGACAGATCTTCTGCCTGCAGTTCGCCCTCCAGGCCAGGCTCGTCCTCCTCCAGAATCTCGTCCAGGTTTATGGCATAAGTTTCCTTCTTCAGGCGGAGGGCCTCACCTCCAGCCGCCTTCTTTGGTGGCCACAGGCGAGATCGAGCCGCCTGCTTCGCCGACTCTGTCATTTCACGATCCTTCTTGGCCCAACCTCCTGTTGCAACAGTCTTGGTCTTGGCGGTCACCTTTTCGGACCTGTTTAGAGAGGCCGTCAGGGCAGCAGCGGTTCGCTCCCGCTGCTTCTTGATAGCCTGTTGATTGCTGGATGCCCTCAAGGACGAGGCAATGGTAGGACGCGCCAGGCGGGATGTGGGTTCTGTGGCTGCCGGGGAACCTCCTCCCAGTCGATTTCCTTGCATCTTCCAGGAACTCCCGTCAACGGAGCCTCCATCGCCCGCTCCGCAGTGAGCTGCCTTTCGTGCTCCCGCAGAGTGACCCGAAAGCGGCGCCGTCAACAAGGCCCTGGCCGAGCTATTTCCGGTGACTTGCGTTGCATCAGTGATGCGTCGATTAAAGTTTGGGGCCTGGGGGGCACCAGCACTACGCCCATTGGTCTTCCCAGATGCATTCATCGCTTTTTACGGAATCCGTACCTATGTTTATGCTAAGAAGTAACGGACTGCTGAGGAATTTTTTTATTTGCTCGCACAATAATTTCAATAAATTCTGAAAGTTGTTTCTTTATACTACTGATGTTGTTTGAACTGATAATGAAAAGTGTGTCCATATCTAGACGTTTCTCCCCCTTCAAAATGGAAAATTTCAATTTGTGTGGCCGACTATGTTTAGTAAATCTGAAGCTTTCGTATTCTTCTTTATTGAAATCTGGGGGCATCTTGTAGTAATTGGAATACAATAGTTCATTTAACTAACATTTAAATCATAATACATGTCTTTCAATTATCATTTTCACAATTTAAATTAACAACGAAAAGATTGAAAAGAGTAACAAAATATAAGGACTTTTTCGGTGTCCCTTAAATTCGAAATATTTAACTCGGATTAATTTAGATCATACGCACGTGTGTCCATTTGAATTGTTGATATTTTAGAAACGGGATGCATAGTTCGTTTTTTAACACAAAAATATAAGCGATCAAATTGTTGTACTTCAAAAATAGGATCTCTCCCCAGTTCGGCAAACACCGAGTAAAAGTGCATAAGACTTTGAAAAATATTTTTTCAAAGACTCTGGTCTATCATTATTAAATCATAAAAAAAAACACACGAATTTGGAGCTATTCCCAAGGGAGCAGAAGGTTAGAAATGAAATTATTTCTGTTGCTTCTCCCTTGCGAATAAGTGCATACCAAATGCGAATGCATTTTGTCTGTGGTTTTGATACTTTGCACGTGGACGATCGAAGAAAAGACCGCTCAAATGCTAAAATAGCAAAGTCAAAAAGAGGTCCCCCGCAGACGACTCTTAGGTCAGGCGCCTGATCGGGTCCTCATAGGTTTTGTTATTCGAACTCGGTACATTGGCTACGAAATGGTACACGTCGACTTCTTCTTTTGGGGCTTGGGTTCCTCTGACCGTGTACCGTTGTTGCTGTGGTTTGTGGATAAATGCGGCTGATTTCTATACGAGTGCTGCTCAAACGACGCACTGAAGTTCTCGAATCGTGTGGAGCCGGTGGGAACATGGCTATAGACTGTGGATCCTCTCCCAATCGTGGATGTCCTTGGGGGAGTCATTTCTGGAGCAGTGGGCTCATAGTTTATGTAGTGATGAGCTCGGTTAGAAGCTGGAATAGAAAGGGGAGTCGATGTTTGTGCGGTTGCAGCTCTAGCTGCAGTTTTCGGGATCTTTGCTGAAGCAGTTGTCTGTGGCGTGGGCTTGAGTGGAACTGAGTTCGATTTTGCTGGACCATTTAGTTTTGCCTCAACCTTCGCTTCTTTATCCAGTTGTAGTTTCATCATTTGAGCAGTGACAGAGCGAACAGCGTCCGAGCTGGTATCCACGTAACGAGGAACCTTTGGCAATTCATCGAAAAGCTTGTCCAGCTCTGACCTGTTGTTATCCTTTGATTCGTTCTTTGGTGAAGCTGAATTAAAGAGGGTAAAGTTAGCGGGGGTTTGCTGATTGTATGTGGTGGGGTGGGGCGGAGAAACAAGAAATACGGCGGGAGTGAGGGTAAGGTGATGACAGCAGAAGCAAACTGAAGCCAGTTTATTTTGCAAGTGGAATGGATTTTTCGACATTGGATTGAGCTCCGATCACATTGACTTGCTCACGATATCTGTTTCTCTGGAAAATGTGGGAATGGCAACGACCATTGGAATTTTTACTTCTTATTTGTGTGTGTCCCACGCTTTTTCTCTTGACCATTTCAGATTCTCCAGCTCCTCCAGAGGCAGCTCCATTGACGACCTTACTGCCAATTTCATCTAGAAAATAGGGGACGCCAACAAGTGTCTTGCGAGCACGGCACAGCTCGATGATGCGGCGAAAGTCGTGATTCTGGCTCAGCGTACGTGGATTGCCGATCATAATCAGCAAAGACATCGGCCTCGAGAGCAGGACATTCAAACGCTACGTGGGACACAAAAATTAGTTACAGAGATTCCCCTTCCATAGGGAAGGCCACTCACCCGTTGGTTGTCGAGGAAGCCCAACTTGGGTGTAAAGGAGCGCACAAACGACACAATGATGATCTGTTTCTCCTTGCCCTGGAACAACTCGACGGATCCGCAATCTATCTGCGACCAGTTGCGCATGTTAAGCTGCTCTTGGATCCGTTGGTACTGATTTTTGTAGGGCGATATGATCCCGATGTCCGTCTGCGCCACCGGCTTTCCGTTAATGCCAAAGTACATTAGATCTTTCACATAATCCATTACAGCGTCGATCTCCTTGTTGTTACACAGGCTGTAGCCCCAAAAGAGGTACATTTGATGGGTATACACATGGCTGCTCCTAAAGCACACAGCTCTACTCACCTAACCGACCTTTTGGTGTTCATCACAGTGCCAAAGACTGAATGGAACATGATCGGGAAATCTTCGTTGGTCGTGTGGAACCAGCTCTTCACTAGAGAGACATTCTCTGCAATCAGAAATATTCAAGTATTTGGACATTGGAGTATGCTAAATGGCAAGGGGCGGAGGATATGCTCACCGATGGGAGCCTCAGCCTTAAGCTCGCCATTGTAGTAGAGATCGCTGTAGAGAGTCACGATCTCTGGGTGGGAGCGGTAGTTCCGAATGAGACGCGTTTGAACAGCCGCATTGTATGCACCCTCCGCATCCACCTGGTAGCACTTTCGCTGGAGAAGCCGCTCGTACAGAGACTCGGACAGACCCCACTCGTTGGCACGGTGCGACTGAAGAATCGGGCCGAGCTGCTTGTGATCACCGGATAGAATCAGATTCGTGGCGGACGAGATCGTGCAGGTGATGCCCATGAGGCACTCCGCCTCGGTAGAGGCGGCCGCCTCATCTACAAACACATGCGAGAACACGGGACGCTTTCCATCGTCGAGAGCGAAGCCACCCGTTGAGAGCTTTCCGGCCAAGCTGAGGGTACAGACGACGATACGGTACTGGTGCACTGCCTGGACATTCGGGTAAAAGTGTACGGCATACAGGTTAGAGTGCTCCAGCAGCAGGTCATCAATGTTGTCTATGCGTCGATCGCAGCAGGCGGAGAAGATGCGAGTTAGGGGCCGGGGTTGGGTCTCGGGTGCCTTGGCTATGGCGCGAAGCAGCCTCAGAGCAATCTCATCGCAGGCGGTGTTTGATCCGGCCAGCACGAGAATGTGTGTTTCCGGCCTGCACACAAACAGCTGATAGATGGCCTCGCAGATGGTCGCCGTTTTGCCGGTTCCGGGCGGGCCGACGACAATATAGGGAGCGGGCAGCTTGGGGCACAGAGCAATCTGCTGCACTGCCTGCATTTGCTCTGGATTGCGAGATATGAGCTGGTTGTGCAGCTGCAGAGCTCCAATCGCCACCGCCTTGAGTGGAATCTCTTCGGGAAAGAGAATCCGCTGCACATGCTGGCTGTTGGTCAGACCCAACTGCTCTAGAGCCCGGTACTGGTAGCGCATTACAGCCCGCAATGGGCGAAAGATCAGCGTATACGTGGTGTTGTCCGCCAACTGTCGCTCGCAGGTGATGTGCACACGCTGGGTGGACACTCCTAGGATGCGCGCAAAGTAGACCCGCGGCTGCTTCATCAGCGATCCCATCTTCTCTTCCAAACTCCGTGCCCACTTGATGATCGCATCGAAGTCATTGAGGGCCAGTTCCAGCACGAGATTACTGTTTTCCAGCAGTTTCCGAATACCGTCCGAGCTCCCATGCAGGACACGCTCGTTGATTATTAGCACGTCGTCGCCCGGGGACAGGATATCCTCGACACTCCCATTGTTGGCGGAAGGCAGTTGCATCTTCACCGACAGCTCCCTGCCGAACTGATGTAGTTCCACCTTCGACTGTTTCAGCCCAAGATAGTTTTGCAGACACTCTACGTCCTCCACCTGCAGAAGTGTGCGCAGAGCGCCGCCTATATTCCCCTGCGTGAGAACCCTTCCTTGCTCACAGTAGTTGCGGTAGTGTTTGTCGTACTCCACCAGACGCTGCTGTGCATCGTCGTGCTTCAGTGCTTGCACAACCTGCGAGGGCGGATTGGCACGGGACAGGCCCTTGCCGCGGAAGATCTCCTTGCTCGACAACCTGTACGGATTAATGTTGAACATGGCCTTGGGCAGGGCGGTCGTTCGCATGAAGTGGTGCTGTTCCACGTACCGCTGCCCTTTGCTCGTAAACCCGATGACAATGGGAATCTCGCGCAGGATAGTGAACACTTGCGAGTCCACAAAGAAAACCTTCTCCCCACTCTCGGGCATCGTCAACGGCATCCGCCCATTGTACACGTAATAGAACTGGCGCGACTGCACAATAATGAACTTTTGCAGCACCACATCTTTGAGGTCGGTCTTCAGGGTGAAGCCAAAGTAGTGGCTGTCCACGCAGGTCTGGTACGAAAGGGTCACCATGGGTTCGGAGCTGTGAAAGTAGGATTAGGAGCCATGTTAAGAGATTGGCATCTACACATCTTGGTTTGGCTTACAATTTGGTCATTCTCTCGAGTGACTTGAAGTCGGACTCATCGCCGTGATGCTCCACATGCTCCTCATACTTTTCAATCGACTCAAAGTGGTGCTCGCAGATGTAGCACCCCATAGAGTTGAGTTCAAAGTTCGTTGACGGCTGCAGCACCTGAGTTTTCTGATACATCAGAGGCATCGTCGCGGCTTCTGTATCAAGGACGTACTGTTCGATTAATTTCCCCTCAAGACTGCCCTGCACATTAGCCCCTGGCTCAATGATGGTTATTTGATCCGGCAGACGCCGCGTCTCATCGATCGCATTAAACTTCTCCCTCCGAAACTCCATCAGGGCGAAATTCCTAATTTGATAGTTGGTGCTTCTCCGCGGCGTGTTCCTCAGGAAGTTGGTTCGCTGCATCAGCGACCCAATCTGTTTATTGAGTTTGAAACCAAAACGTTGCCATTATTAATCTCTTTGAATTGTTTATTTAGAACATTTCTCTGATTTCAAAAACCGACGCTCGCGAAATTCGAGACTTTTATTTGGTCCAAGAGCCGTTTGCAGCGGGGAATCAAAAGATCCAAGTTTTACATAAATAAGCGAAACATTCACATGTACATACATACATACATACTGGAAATTCCTACAGATGAATTCGAAGAATTTGGGGTTCCTTTTAACTGATGGAGTCATAAACTGGATAAGTACATACATATGTACGTGCATATGTATGTATATGTACATATGTTTATTGATGTACATAGTAATTAAATAGACATACATCGTATGTAACAAAAATAATAAATAATATCAAACCATATTAATACCTCTACAAATCCATACTGAAGCCTGTTTGGACCTACGCTATACAGCTTTGGGGAACTGCTAGCAACTCAAATATTGAGATACTTCAGCGTTACCAATCAAAAACTTTGCGACAAATTGTCAATGCTCCGTTTTACGTATCTAATGCAAACATCCACAAAGATCTGAATATTCCAACCATTAAAGAAGAAATAAAGAAAACTAGTAAGAAATACATCGACAGACTCCACAACCACGAAAATAATTTAGCCTTAAGTCTATTAGACAATAGCCTAACAGTAAGAAGACTGAAAAGATGCCACATTCTCGATATCCCTGATAGATAAATCCAACAAACTGAAAAAATGTTACATATAATAGCAGGGCTCATTGGAAAACTGCTATTTCTGTTAATTGAATATTAATTATACAATTTACTTATTGTTTAAAAAAACAGATTGTAAATATAAAGAGAGAGAAACAAAAACAAAATATTAATACCTAGCCATCTCAGATCTAGCTGTTTACCATTTATTTCGCCCTTCAGAAGCAATGACAAAAGATATGCCATGCCTATGTGGATTTTATTCAAAATTGGTGTGACATCAATGATCCGGTATTAAGTCTAGAAAGCTAAACCAGTGGAAGATAAATCGGCCTGTGTAAACCCACAACATCAGAATCATTCATTGACTCATGACTCATAGAGGGTTATAGAGGGAATCTAATCTTATGCACTCCACCAATATGAATACACATATGTATGAATGCTGTATTGTATGGATAAGAGTCGAGTTGACAAATTTCGAAGGTTTGCGTTTGCAAACAAAGAAAATGAATGCAAAATCTGTATGGATGTATGTACATATGATTGTACGTCTTTGTAAGCAAATGCATGTGGGATACATACACTCTTACTGTTATCGCGAAAGGGCTGTTCTAGTGTGCGTGCGAGTGTCTTTGGCTACGCTCGGTCTAGTCCGATACTCACGTTACAGGCTCCATTTGCAGACAGCTTGATGCGTAGCTCCACATAGTTGGGACACTTTCCCAGATGGGCCTCGAATAGCCTCCTCATTTTCCTCTTATCCACGTACCAATCATTGCGAGCACTGATCTCCTGACTGTCGCCCATCTCCAGCAGAAAGAGCCCTATAAGTTCCCGTTCTATGCAAGGAAGAGCAACGAGGTAATGAGCAGATCACACAAGAAACCCAGGCACCGTAGCCATGAACCTGTTGCTTACCCCAGGCAACTGTCGGACTTCGATTTGTGCCATTGCCGTAGTTTTTGTTAAAGATCTTTAATCCGTTTTTTGGCGGAGTGCCCGGCGGCGTCAGTAAGCAGGGAGGAATAACTTCTGCACAGCGTTTATTACTACCGTTGGTCTTGGCAGCGACGGCCATATTTTTCTTGCCCTTCGTCATGTTCCTAGATCGACTGGGTATATATTTGTATTCGTTTGTAATATGGGTATCAATATTTAGTAACTTTTGCACGGATCACACATACACACACGCGGAATAAACAACCGCTTATCGATATTGATGCAACACAAAACAGAAAACAGCAACCGGTACGTTCACTCAATTAATAAATAAGAGACGCGTACTCTTCCATGCGAATGTATGTGGGCTGCGCATTTCGAGTAACGGCGAATGTTAGCCAAATAACCAACACAGATGACAAACGGCTTCCAGTGTTGGAAGCGAACCAATACCAAATCAGAATTCTCACAAATTACTACAAATTTTAAACGTGTAATACTTTATTTTATAGAAAATCAAACGAAAGCAAAAAAACTTTCCTGACACGTAATTCAATTCGCATAAAGTACCGATTTACTGATTCACTTAGATCGCTCAAGAGTGACCAGCCGCTGAAACTATTTCAACTATCTAAAGCAATGTAGATCCCGAATATGGTCACATTTATTATAACTATTTATTATTTTTGATATTTTAAATGCTATAAAGTTTATTTTTTGGCGAGCTTCAGCTTCTCGGAACCAAATATAACCCCTGTATCGACAAGTTTGCGTTTCATTGCGAAGGGGTTAACAGAGTTAAGAGGAGTACGCTGCTCCGTGGATTTACCGGTCACCGTCTCAGACTCGGCGTCTGCGAATATGTTCTCCTGTGTATCCAGTGGGGCAGTTGTATCGGGTGTGGAGGGACGAGCAGCTGCCTTGAACATATTTGGCGAGTTGGTGAAACGTTTGAGGGCCCCGCGCTTCGAGGAGCTCAACTCGATGGCCTTGGGCTTGGGTCCCTGACTCTGAGATCCCGCCGTAGGTGTCATGGGGAGGACAATGGTGGCTGCTATCCCACTGGCGCCCAGAAGTGTTTGCTGCTTGCGCGCCTCCTGTATAGCCTCCAGCTGGGGCATCAATTCACACAGGCGATCAGAGAGATGAATGCGTCCTCGTTTGGTGGCATATTTGACAGCCAGCTGCAGGAGCTCAGTGGAGGCAATCGACTCAATCAGCTCGCGGGCCCGGGTCTCGCACTCGTTGCTGCACGCTAGAGCAAAAAGCTTGATGGCAGTCTCCTTCTGCATCTTCTCGGCGCCTTCCACCTGCATCAGACTGGACCGCAGTAGGGCATCCTCCAGCTCAGACTTTTCCACCTCGATGTCGCACAGTGGGATCTGCATGCGCAGTTCCTGAAGCATGGGGCGGGGATTGGTCATCGGGTAGGATGTGCCGCGGCAGAGGACTGCCTGTACTATTTGTCGGCGCTCGGATACGGCAACCACAAAGTAGTTGTTGGACACGCTGGAGCTCTGCTTCATGGTATCACATATGGGAAACCAGGCATTGCTGCTCTTCCTGTACAGCTGCAGCAGACCCATGTTGTCAGCGATGCTGGGCGACCCGGTTTCAGTGTAGCCGAGCCAGGTCATTTGCCTGCCAGGAGTGAGGGGCACTGGCAGATGTTCCAGGCGAAGACTCAATCCATTGATGTTCACCAGCATGGCCGAGAGATGCTGCTGCGTCTGGCTAGGAGCAGAGCTGTGGTAGACCAACATCAGGCTGTGCTCGTGTCCGGCTATGGCAACCACGGGGCCTGGTATGCTCAACACCTCGCGCTGGGTACCCATGACGCTGAAAATGCGTAGGAAACTGGCACTCGTGGCCACTGCGACCATGTGGCTGGTGGCCACCAATGCATCCACGGACTCACAGTCCGGCAGGCTGAGCGACCACTCCTTGTTTCCAGAGGCGGCCAAGGCAATCACCACCAGCTTGCTGGACTCGCTGGAGGCCAAAGCCAGGGCCCCGCTGCTTAGGCTGGCCAGATTGTGCTGGTTGTAGTTGCTGATGTGGAGGGAATGGTGAATGCTCGCATCATGAAACTCCACGTCTATGGAGCTCTCACCCGACGGCTCCACGTGGCCTGTGACTATGCCGACGTCATTCCACGCCAAGTAGCGGTGCTCGAGATCGCACGGCGTGGCACTGGGCTGGAAGGCAGACTGCTGTTTAAATAGCTTTATTTGGGGAGCAGCTGGAGCAGGCACCACTCTGCTGCCGCTGCCCAGGGAGTGGTTGGAGAGCTCATCATCAATGGAATCCCCGCAGTCCATGACGTCTCGTTTCAACTGCTCCAGGCTAACGCCGTCACCGTCATCTGCAGTACCCTCTGGATTTCCTGCTCGATGGAACTTCAATTTGCTTAGCAGATCTGCTCGGATATCCTCCGATTCCAGTTCCTCCTCTATGTCGGCTTCTGTACCGTCGCTCATGAATACGGTTCCCAGCTGGCCAGTGGCATCACAAAAGGCCACTTCCTCCTCGTCCGCACGGCTCCAGGCCAAGCAAGTGATGGAATTGCAATCATTTGGGGGCGGCTCCACCGAGATCGCCTTGCGCTTCTTTATGTCAAAGACGCTCACCTCTCCCTTGGTGGTTCCAGCGGCCAGACGCTCCCCGTTCGGAGAGAACTGGCAGCAGCTGTAGTTGCTGGAGACTCTATCGTCGCGCAGCTTGTAGGCGACCTCCCAGTTGGCAGTGTTAAGCACCACAATTTCGGTGTCCGCTGCATAGGCCAGCAGCTCCCCGCTCTGGGGCTCAAAGCTGGGCGAGCCATACTGTGTCGCACTCTCGAAACTGTTCACCCGTGGAAGTCCATTAATGTTCTTCAGTTCTGTTGCCGTCTCAAAGTTCCACACCTTCAGCTGGCCGTCGCCGCTGACTGAGGCCAGTAGTTTCCTCTCAATAAACATGTCCAGGGCGAGTATGGGTCCCGAATGACCCTCTAGGAGGGTTTCATTACCGGCATGATCACCCCGTAGCACCTTAATTGTTGCATCCTCGCTGCCTGCAGCCGTGTACTCGCCAGCCACTTTGAGACATGTTGCTGGTGCGGTAAAGCGCATCAGGATGCCATCGCTGTCCATGTCGGGAAAGGTGTAGGCATGGATGGTGTTGCGATCCGTGGAGGCCAGAAGGCGGCTGCCCGAGTGGGCGATGCACATGACAAACTCACCCAGGCAGGTGGAGCGCGGATCATCGTCGCTGATACACGTCCAGTGGCGAATGTCGCCGTCGGTGCCGCAGGTAATGATGAACTCGCCCTTCGGCGTGTAAATGAGTCCAGTGTGTCCATTGGTGTGCGCATAGCGCAGGGCACTTCGCGCGAACGTCATTCTGTTCAATTTTTAAGGAGAATAAAATAAACACAACTCGGGCGGAACCAAGGCTTTTGGCGCTAAAATCTATCACTGACTGTCAGTGTTGGGAAACGAGTTCGTGTATAAAACAGCTGAGCACTAGTTTCGTTTTTTGTCTCTCTCTGCCCTGCCGGTGCGGATTGAATTGTTTGTGGTTACCGCATTGATTTAACGGGCCATGTTAAAGAATATTGCAAAGCTATCGACCTTAAAGATCAAGTGCGATCTGCGGGCCTTCTCCTCACTCACACAGCCCACGCATCAAAGCATATTTGACCGCAACGCCAAGCGGCTGCAAAAGGAACGCGCCGCATTGAGGTAAGTTAGCTTATGGTTTTGAGGAGTCTTTCTCTTCTAAACAATTTCCGAACACAGTGAGGATGTTGGGTTATATGACTATCTGAAGGAGGAGGTGGGCTTCCGACTAGCGGATCGAGTGTTTGACATTAAGCGCGAGTTCAAGGCGGCCGCTGACATCGGGTGCAGTCGAGGCTACCTCTCCAAGCACATTCTGGCCGAGAGTGTGGAGCATCTGACGCTCACAGACATTAGTGCCACCATGCTTGAGCAGGCGCAGGGCACACCCGGCCTCAAAATGCACAAAATAGTCATAGACGAGGAGAACTTGAATGTGGGTAAAACATAATCTTAATTTATTTGCAACGATCAAGTCCAACGATATCTTTTCACAGTTTGAGGAGAACTCTCTGGATCTGGTGATCTCCAGCCTGAGCCTACATTGGGTAAATGACCTGCAGGGCTGTTTTGCCAAGATTAAGCGCAGCTTGAAACCAGACGGCGTCTTCATAGCCTCCATGTTTGGCGGGGATACGTTGTACGAGCTGCGCTCCTCGCTGCAGTTAGCCGAGCTGGAGCGCAAGGGTGGCATCTCACCTCACATTTCGCCATTTACACAGATTAGCGACATCGGATCTCTCCTGAATCGCGCGGGCTTCACTATGCTGACCATAGACACCGACGAACTAGTTATTGGATATCCCAGTATGTTTGAGCTGATGTGGGATCTCAAGGGAATGGCGGAGAACAACGCGGCCTTCAACAGGCCCGCACACCTTAACCGCGAGACAATGCTGGCGGCCAGTGCCATCTATCAAGAGCTCTACGCCAAACCAAATGAAAGCGGTGTGCCGGCCACCTTCCAAATTATTTATTTTGTCGGCTGGAAGCCGGGGCCCAACCAGCCTCAGCCATTGCAACGCGGCACAGGAGAGGTGTCGCTCAAAGATCTGGGCAAGATTATCGAGAAGGGCGGCAAGGTGGACTCACAGACGTAAGAGTGGGAAAACGTTGCAAATTCAATTTAGTTTTATTTATAAAACGCTCTTGAACATTATCCATTACTTAAATAAAAGGGATTCCCTTTTTCGGAAACTTAACTTTAATTCATGGTCTGATTCGTGTAAATGTCCATCCCGAAAAGGATTACATATAAAGAATGCACTTGCACTTTATTCGTCAATTTGTTGCGGTTGCGTATAACTACATACATATATGTACATACATATATATATCTTTATTTCTATCATAATGATTGGATTTCATTCGATTAATATTTGGTTGCAATCGGCTCCATTTTTACACTCGCTTAAATTTCTTGGACGTAACTTTTCAACGTTGCTTTGTATTTTCTTCGGTACGTACATATATACAAGTACAATTTACAACAATTTATAATATTCGTTTATTTGTAGTTCAATATGCAATCTAATAGATTTCTAACCGCTTTGTATGTGTATTAGATACGATTTGCTCTTGCTTGTTCCTTTAGCATTTTGCATTTAATTCTCAATTGCTTAATCAATTTTCAAACCTTGGCTCCGTTGTCCCAGAAACTAGATCAACCTGAGGGTGCCCAAAGCTTCTTTACAAGCGCTCTGCTTTGTTTTTTCTCTCCAACTTAAACGACTTGAATTATATACAGATGGTATGGTTAATGATTATCATAAATTAGTCCGCTACTTTTGGAAATAGTTGCGTTTTTCCAGCAACAACAGCTGCTGTTGTTGTTGTTTTTCTTGTTGCTGTGGTAAGAATATAAGACTCAAGGCCAAACATAGGCAGCAGACAACAACGAGCAGATCCTAGGTTATTCCAGTTTAGTTCGTGGTCATCTGCTGCTTTGCCAATCATCCAAGAGCCAGTGGCGATCGGGGCGGTACAGGCGGTGGTGTTGGGGTTCCTCGTGGGGAAGATGTGGCGGTGGCGGTGCACCCTAATGCTGTTGTGGTATGATTTTCTGCAGCTGCTAGCGTCGAGCAAGACGCCGGCGGCAGCTGACGTCAGGTGCCCAAGAGCATCTCTCGCTGTGGAGTGCTCTGAAGCATATTGGCGGTTTTCAGGTGAATGCTGCAAGAGAGCCAAGGCCAGTCAGCTATGTTGGATGGGGTGTACTTGTTACTTGTTACTCACTTGTTGTCCTCCAGCGACATGGTCTCCGATGAGCCGTGCGAGGCAACTGAAGTACCTGCAAGCGAACTTCGTATTGAGTGCGAGTCCTCGGGAACAGTAAGCGTAACTAATAAAATGGCATTTAGTTTGTATGTTTTGTCAATTATCGAACAGAACACGTGTCAACGTACACCAATCCCAGTTCGTTGTGTGGCCAATGCGATGGAAAGAAGTTGGGTTTTTGGAAAATTTCATTTAGTTTTCGTTGAGGATGTGCTTTTAAGGTGTAAATGGGAAGTTTTTCTTGTTAGCGGTGTTAGTGTTGTTGTGGTTGTACGAGGTTGTGGTTTATGTGAGGTGGTGCAAGGCGAATCGGATTCATATAGATCTCTGAATCTGAAACAGTTCTTGCATTACAAATATCGGATCGGAAATACATGTGTACGTAATGCTATTAATGTATATTCGGGTGATTTCTATTCTATTCATATCATGCTGGCAAGTGAGTTCATTTTCAATACAAAATATTATATTTATTTGTGTGGTACGGTACGGTACAGTACAGTTTTCGCTATACTCGTGCTCGTTTGTTGTATTTATAATCATATTTGTATAATTATTGGCTAATCAAATTACAACTACCATTTCAATTTGGCTTTAAGGTAAACTAACTTTTAGTTTCTTTCGTAAAGCGAGAATAATATATATATATGTAATTTGAGTAAATGCAAGGGAAAAAGTCTAATAATTTTCGTTGAAGTAGGTGCAAAGTAGGTTAGAAAAGTCGCTAGACAGATATAAATAAATATTGTTTGTTGTACGTAGCTTCAAACGTTGGAATCGTTGGTATCTTAGCAGTTATCAGTTTGGAATACATATTTAGTAGGTATTTAATATCAAAGAGTTAGGAGAAGGCAAAATAAAAGTAGAAAAAACTAGATACAAACATTGAGCAATGCTAGAAAATGACAAAAAAATTACAAAAATTAAAGCTATGTAAGCTCGTGGAAATTTTCATTGTGGGCAATGGGAAATGTAATTTCATTTGGCAAATGCGTTTTACAAACCATAAAGGAAGACATTAACTACATAAACAAAGATTAAATATTAGAAATCAACTAAAAACTAAAGGCGCGTGTTTTCCACACTCAACGCATCATCATTATCATCAGCATCTGCGACATTGGCATATGCACCATTATTATGCTGCTGATCCATGTGTCTGCCTCCATTCTGCACGATAGAAACACTCCGATCCAGCTCCCGGTGCTCAGCTGGTGGTGGCTTCACGTGCAGGTACAACTGCTGTTTCTGGAGCGCCTCAAGTGCCTGATCCAGATCCAGGCGATTGCGACTGTCGCTATCGCTGCTGAAGCTGTGCCGCATGTGCTGCAAACCATTGGGAAGGGAATGCTGCTGCGGCGGCTGAGAGTTGAGATAGGTAAGATTGTGGATGCTCTGGCTGCGACTGGGGTCGTGGTTGTGCTCGTGGGCATTCTCAACAGTGGTGACCACGTATCCATTGCTGTACAGCGAGTAGCTGCTATTTGCCGGCGAGGTGGCTAAGCTAGTGATACTCTGATAGGTTTTCATTGAGTATGCATCACCTAGGAACAAAATTACAGAAGCGAATGCGGGTTAAGTTCATATCTGGATTTACTTTGAGATCGGGGCGGCTCCATCAAACCGGGCAGGGCGGACACAAACGCAAACGCCAACCCAAACGCAGACGCAGAAGCGAAGCGGTGGCATGTGATCAATGCAGGCATATACATATATGTACACGTAGCGGACAATGTTAAACATGGTTACAAGATGGATCATCCGATTATGTGACATGAACTTTGGGGGGCGTACTTAATAAGCGTGAATTGTATTGGATTGATTTTTTGATTCTTTGGTTATGGCTTTTCAAGGGGCAGCCCTTAAATGGTAATTTTTATACAGCATTTATTTATTTATATAGGTATATGTTGAATTAGTGCTCGTTACAGTTAGATCCGTTACTCCTAGGGGTTCCGTTGTTCCCGTTCTTGGTATTCCATACAAAACCACTAACATTAACTAACTTCTATTTCATTTACATCCGACTACAATACCATTGACCTTCCCACACACAACGCCAATTAAAAAGTACGTAATATTATACAGAGTTGTCTTCACCCTGAAAGAGGACTACTACCTAGATCTAAATATATGTACGTAAAATCAAACAAAAATCTAAACATGGCTACGATAAAGAAATAAATACTATACGATATTATAATTAAACTGAAAATAACTGTTTCTTTTTGGGAGGTGGGACATACAAAAACAGATTTATCGTATATACATTCACATTTTGTAGTGCAACACCAACTCAAATTGCGATTCATATTGTGGAAACTGCTTATATTTCTTTCTGTACATATACATAAATGTCTTGCACCACACAATATAAAAAAAAAGGTAATTTGAAAACATATTACTGAGTTACTTGGGGTTGTTAGTGGATTGTGGGAAAGCAAGCATTAGTATTAGTTAGAGTATGTACAAAAGTGTAGGGGGCGGGATAAATTGTCAAAACAAGCGACACTCACCCGTAGCACACTCCGAAGTCTCATAGGACACTGTTGATTGCACATCAATTGCATTCTGTTCTTGTCTGTAAGGATAATACACAAACTGAGACTTGAAACTTTGTTGATATTTTTTAGATTTGCATATACAACCTTGATATCACATCTGTTATGACTTGCTTCTCCGTGTCTGTGTAATCGTTGCGTCTGCGCCCGATTTTCTTTTCCATATCCGCCTCGACGAAATCTCCCAAGGTCCTTGTGGGAAACTCGTTTGATTTGGCTGGTGGAGGCGCATCAAGCTTTAAGTCCTTCAGCTTCTTCATCACACGTTCGAGGGCATGTATGGCGTCGTCGTCGGAGTAGCCGAAGTTCTTGTGGAGCTTCACTTGCAGATACTCGATGATCGCGTCCATGTCTTTCATGCGGAGCAGTTCATCCTTGTGTAGATATAGAATAGTGATGGCCATAGCCAGAATGACTCTGTCACCATCCAACAGAAATATGTCCCACACTCGTAGACTCAGACTGAAGGGGACCTGCAACAGAATAAATAAGGTATTCGCATAAAATGTTAATTTCATATCAGCTGAGGAGCAACGATGATGCCTTACCCGCTCTACGAACACCACGAAGAACCACTTGATAGCATAGAGCAGCGCGTCAACATTGTGTTTGGTGAAATGCTTGTGCAGCTTTCGCATTATCTTGGACAAAATGCGATCATGGTGGTCGATAAAGCGTGTCAGCTTGGGGAATCCCTCAATGAACAGCCCGTGCATGCCATATTTTTGGTCGGTCATCAGGGTATTCAGGGCCCAGAAGGCCTCCTCTTCCTGCATAAACAGGAGCAGCACTCCAGCCACGCAAGCCATCCCCTGGCAGTAGCCCAGCTCCGAGTTGTAGATACTATAAGCATTGAGCACATTGAACAGCGAACACTGCTTGATACTGTAGCGCTCCCGATAGGCAAGATTGTCTCTAAACTGGCGATTTACATCAGCGTCGATCTGGCGGGTCTCCGTGGAGTACTTCTTGGCCAACTGGAGCATACGGGGATAAACGCCGACATTGTTGGCTATCGACTGATCGACATTGAGCAGTTTCTTCCACGCTGGCCATCGAACGGCTTTGGGGATGCCCTTGTACACACGTGTGTGCAGCTTGTCCTGGGGTGGCGGCCACTTGGCGAGCATCTTCATCCACTTTTTATCACGCTCGAGCTCAATCTTTGTTAGCTGCATTTCCTGAGAGTTGCGCGTGGTGGGCAGGCGGGAGTCGTGCATAAAGCCGTATCTGCAATGAAGGCGATCAGATACATATAAGCGGACAGTATATTAAGGGAAATAAGTTAAAAATCGGAAAAACTCACTTGTCAGTTATGTGATAGATTTCGAATGTGGGATTCTCCCAGGGATCCACAATGTTGGTGGGATCGAGTCCCAGCTCGTAGCGCTTGACAATCTCCTCGCGCTCGTCCTCGGCACGCCTAACCAAGGCCTCCCGCTGTTCACCATCCGTCATCGTGGACAGCCTGAGAGGAGAAGGTGGACGAGGCGGTGGCGGTGGCACAAGAGGAGGCCACAATTATGGAATTACTAGACTCTCTTCACCCAGTTGACTTGGGCAAGTATGGGGAGTGGCTGCTGCTTCTTCGCTGGCTTAGCGATAGCGCGAAACTTTGATAAAAGACAAAAGCATTAACATATGAAAGTAAAAACAGTCATGGATATATGCATATAATATATATGCAAACAGTCATACCCTCGCACACACCGACACAAGCAACCTCTCGCGACGAAGTTAATGTACAATCTATGCATATGTGTACAAACATACACATAAATGCAGTGGAATCGATTTCGCTGAACGACTTCTGTTCACGCTGCTTGCCACAGAGCGTGGCCAAAAATGACGTGATATTAAAAATGTTTTAGGCATCCGCAGCATCCAAGCACGAAGCACGAAGCAACAAAAACAAAACTGCAATTAAAAACGCCCCCACTGACCCCCGGAGATGGAGAGCCAAAACACAGTTGAAAGAGAGAGTGGATAACTTGTGTCCGTGACATCACCGATAGATGAGATGCTTATTAGGCAAATATAGTTATCAATTCATTGCAAGCGAGTGCTTTGCTCTTTATGTTCTATCTCTTCTCTCGGTACACTTCCTGTTTTCGAGGCGATTTGATTTTGTTGTATTTTTGTCAACACACACACACAAAAGCACACACTCTCGATGCCAACCAGAAAGTTGTGTTCTTTGACTTTCACTCCCGAGTTTCTGTTCGGCTACATGTGTGAACTGGCTCAACTAATTGCTTACCATTTAATTTTGTGATTGACTCTTTGAAAAAATACAATACAACATGTCAGGGATTGTTAAACAATTTTTTTCATTACTTTGGCTGCATGTTCAATGTTCAGAAGCGGCCGCGGATTTATCGATAAAGTATACCGTCAGGGCCTCGAAAATAAACCGAAACATACCTTGTCATTTTCAAAATATACCGTAAATCGTATCATCGTATACCGATGAAAACAAATTTTTGTTTTTGTTTTAAGGCCAGTACTCAGACACCCAACATATTCTTGAGACAGAAAATGCCATATATTTCTCTTAGTGCCCAGTATGACAAATGTAGACCAAAGTGCATGCTCTCTGGGTACACTGTTTTGTGTTTGTTTACACAATGAAACCCGCTACAAATTCAAATTTTGTTTGAAAACAGTGCTATTTGTGGTGTGCGTTATTTAAAAGTGGATAAACAGTGCAATAAACATGTGTTTTATCTCTTTATAAATTGACAAAATGAGTACCGAGTATAAGATTAATAACTTATAATATCGAAATAATCAGTTTTCGTTGGACTGTATTAATACGTTTTTAATCGTCTTCATTTAATGATCTTTAGCCCTTTTACCTTTGTTTTGATTGTTTTCTTCTTCGTATTTCGATACTGTTGTCAAAAGATACAAATTTCTTTCTTTCGCTTAGCGATTGAAGTATTTAATCGCCTAAGTTTTCTGGTATTTTCTGGTCTGCTGATCTGAATACTAAACTGCAAAATTCTGGCAATTCTGAAAGTCCTTCTTTTCTGTGGTACAAAAAGCAGGGTTGATTTCTTATCGTTTGGAAAAGAAAATCATCCCTGATTCTGTCACAAGAAAATTTTTTTGCGAGTCTGAGTACTGGGCTTAAAATAATTTTTGCTCCTGCATAGACAATTTGTTGTGTCTGGTTGAGCCCACTCCTGTCTATATTTATACCCGGTACTCGAAGAGTAAGTAGGGTATTTTGTATTTGTGTGAATAACGGTTGTATGTAACGCACAGAAGGAAGCGTTTCCGACCCCATTAAGTATATATATATTCTTGATCAGCATCAATAGTCGAGTCGATAGAGCCATGTCTGTCTGTCCGTCCGTCCGTCTGTCCGTCTTGTTTGTCTGCTAGTTCTCAGAGACTATAAAGGCTAGAGCCACCAAATTTTGGCTCCAGACTGCTGTATGCTCACACTGAAACCAGTGTATTTCAAAAACGAGCCCCCGCAAAAGGTCGAAAACCTCCCAAATCTACAATTTTGCAGATAAAAGAAAAAGAAAAACGCCAGATCACCAAATTGGGATCCGAATGAAGAAATTAATTTCCAGTGGCTAAACCCACCCTGTCCCGCAGCTTTTGTTGTTCTTTTCACATTCTCTCATTCACACTCTGCTTCTGCTTCACTCGGCCACTGCCTCTGCCGTCCCTCTGCCCGTGCCTCTACCGACTTTTAACCCACCCCGTCTCGCAGCTTATAGTTGTTTTTTTTTTTGTGCGGTCGCTGCCTCTGCCTCTGCCGCGAGTCGGCAGTGTGTGGGTCTAGGGAAGGGCGGCGAGCGTGTTGGTGTGACAAGTGTTGTAGATGTAGATGACAGATGAAGAAAAAATTTAAAATTTGACAAAACACCGCTGAGGTGCAGGTGCACTATTATATTCCCAATGACTAGTTTTGGTGGCCAAAAGCTCATTTTTAAAAGTTAAAACCAAGACTCGGTTTTTAACGCTCGTTATATCGTTATTAGAAAAAGAGTGACCATCAAAGTTGCGTAACAGAAATTTTCATAGATGGCGCCACTTTCGAAAAATCTGCTGTGAAAACTAGCGGTCATTATTGCACAGAATGTGCAGGGAAAAAGTACCAATTTTATTGCTGTTTTAAATATCTCATAAACTGGAAAATACGATTAACTGATCCAATTATTTTGATTCATTTTATTTAGTAGGATTTTTACTACGTGTTCTGTAATTTGAACGATATCTAGTGTTTGGCGATGTCTTCTACATCTAGATGTAGTCCTGAGTGCCGGGTATAAAAGTTGTGACGCGTAAGAAGCGTGTTACACGTCCCTTCTCGTTTTGTTTGAAATCGTCTCGAAATTGTGTGGAAGCTGGAATCTTCTCAAACATACCGTATACATAGCTATTTTCGAAATATACCTATATATACCGATATACCGTACGTATAACGTCTACTGAATTAATATTATTTAATAATAATAGAAATTAATAATATTAAGCGTTAAATATATCGATATTTTTCTTAGATCGGGAGAGCTTCTGATAGAGAATTTCCCTTACCAAATCTAATGAAATATTCAATTACACATTTTTAAAATATATGGTCATAAGGTACATAACCCAATAAAAACAAGTATTTATAATGAGCCAAATTGATTCTTCAATCGGACTTATATATTGTGTCAGTGTTAAAAGCATTTGCAAGCTGGTAATATCAAATATAACATCAACATCGTGAAATATGATTCAAGACTAAGGTACATTACGGTATGTTTTAAAAATGAAATGGTATACTTCGGTGTATACTTGAGGGTCTGTCGGTATATCTTATCGATAGTTCCGCGGTCACACTGACGACCATTTTTTTGCCACGGATTGTGTATTTAATTGTGCTGGAAAAATCGAAAGAAAACCTAATGTCACCGTTCAGAGATTATAATTAAAAGTAATTGAATGCAAACTAGACAGTGTGGTCCACCGTCAGAAGCAGGAAAAACGATGCACATACAATAATTCCATTTAATAAAACGGGTACGAAAACACAACTCTCAAGTGCGTAAATAACCAAATGACTACCAAATGTCTTGAGACCGAAGACGGAGGCAGGCTAGCAAACTGATGCTAGTGTAGATATAAGATACAACTTTAAAATATCTTCTAAAATATATTAATAAATGACGTTCGTCTATCGATCGACCTCTAATTCTCGTATTGTAATGTTTCAGCAGAACACAGCAGGAGCTGGAAGATAATTCTGTCCACCCTTTTGGATCCATAGAGTATCGACTCTTAGAACATGGTTTCCACCCGCCAAATGTGTGGCAGTGCCGGACCATCGACTGGAAACGGATCCGTATCTGAGCCAGCGTCCAGCAATAACGCCTCTAACCCAGCCCAGAGGGAGTCTGGGGAGGCGGCTACACGTACCTCCGTCTTAAGACGCACTGCAACTTACAACAGCCAGCCGCAATCCTCGCCAGCCACCCTGGCTTTCTCGGCCAGTGTGGTAACTCGCCATGATTACACCTTGCAAATGCAGCGCTCCGACCGGGTCGGTTCAAGTGGTGGCGCCATAAGCTCCTTGTCCAGTGGGCTGCCAGCTCCCCTTCTCAACATTCTCGATTTGCCCACGGAGCTCTTGGAAAAGATTGTCGGCTTCTTGGATTACAAAAATGTTTCGAATCTGAGAACGGTAAGTCTCCCCGCTGTCAGTCTATTTCCATTGCCTCTATCTCTCTTTTTGGTTTGGCCTTTTTCGCTATTAAATCAATAAAAAGCAATTTTCCAAGTGCACGGGTGGGACGGGCGCAGAGAGTTATCCAACTACCTGAAATGCACTTGTACGAGTACGAGTACGATTACTAGTATGTGTTGCTGCTGTTATTATTTTTGCCACTCAAAGTCGCTGACACGAGTCGTCATCAGACATCATGGCCTGACGTCCTTTTCCCATTGCAGTGGGCAATTATAACTTTGTCACGACATCTCAAATGCACATTCTTGAATCAGGGTACAAAACTCAGCCAACTTTGTTGAAGATTTAGTCCAAGGATTTAAGGGTGATCTCAGTTCGGTGTCTGAAACAAAACCTTTTGTTCTGGTGTTTTATGCCTCACCCTCAACTATGTTTATGTGTGTGTGTGTGTGTTGGCTCTTAGGTAGCGACGAAAAATGAAACCTGATATAATTAAATGGTAGGAGGCAGCAGATCCACTGCATTATGGATGCGGGCGAGCAGGCAGAAGCAGCCCAAATATGCAACTAAAACGCGAATCAATAAACAATTTGTAAGTTCTTTAGTTTGAAATCTGATGCGAATTTGCATATTTGAAGGTATCGCATCGCTTCAATGACATTAGCATGGCCATCCTGAACGGAGCCTTCGCCAGGCAGATCAAGACCACGTACAACCGTTTCCACTCGATCAAGGCTAACATGCCGCGTCGGGAGTCGGCCCGACGCAGCCACCCACTGGCCTGCGAGTGCGACATCATCGAGACATGCTACATGCGGCTGTCGCTGCTGCACATGTCCATGGGAAAGCATATCGAGCGAGGCCATTGCTGTTTCTTTCCAGGCGCCGTAAGTTGGATGCCCGTGTTGTACGGGTTGTACGGTTGTACGATCAGAATTCAACATATTCAACACTTTTCCCGTTTGCAGATACTGGACGAGGTGAATGCGATTCTGAAATACATCAGTATTACACCCAAGTTGCAGCGCCCTTATCGGGTGACCGACGAACTCTTTGATCTCTCGACAATGGCCATGGAGTACTTCAAGGATCGTATTGAGCCCACGCTTCCTGGGCTGGCGTATTTTAATAAGAATTTCTACACCTCGCCCACAACAACAAAGCGACGTAGGTGAAGGGCTATCCAGTGTTGAACTAACGCTAATCCACACCATCCTGCTTTTTTGTCTGCAGCCACTCTCGCCATAGCTTCGGATCTCGCGGACAGCGATAGCAATTCCCCCCCACAGAACCACATGGTGCTCCGCAAGGGCATACGCAAAATCAAACAGGGCATGAAAATGTACAACAATCAGCTGTCGGTGCTGCGCACCGATCTACGCACCTGCAAGCGCAAGGCCGCCGAGCAGAGCAAACTGTTTGCCGAGCAACAGAACCTGTTGGCCGAGCACCAGAAACAAACACTGGAGTACGCCAGTCGGTTGGACGAGAACGACAAAAAAAACGAGGAAATGGCACGAAAGTTTTCCAATTTGTTGCAGGTGAGTGCAGCCTGTCATGCCTGCGACGTGTAAAGCCACTCTAATCGCTTTTGGTCCTTGCAGGAACTCAACAAGTGCAAGACGGAGCTCCAGTTCTGGCGCTCCAAGAGTCCTGCCCTTCCTGCTGTGTGCAGTTCGTGCAATCAAAAGGTG